TACATTATATGCCACATCTCCCAGTCTTGAATTGTGTAAGTTTCAATTACACAGACAGACCACCTTGTTTATTTATTTGCATTAAAAGCACAATCTGGCTTTGATTACCTTGGCTGTAGATGTTAAACACATTCTTACCACTACTACTTTTTCAGACTTCATGTCTTTGTACTAAATGCCATCTACCACAGAATAAAAAGCTTTGCATGTCATTAAAATTGGTTTGTAGCTGTACAGTTTCTTCTGTTAGCCAACAAAATTAGACTAGATTTGAAATACAGTCAGGCTACCTAACACCAGCAGACTAGTGACTGAAAGGTTTGATATTTTATGTTATGCCAAAGGCAAACAATTCACTGCTTTTTGGCTTGTGAAATGGCTACTGTATGCAATTGTACAGGCAGCTTACAGAAGAATTTAATAGTTATCACCTGACAGAGTGAAATGGCATACCATCAGACTCACTTCTGTTACTCCAGACATTCCACACCAGCCACTTTCAGTCAATAATTATTCTTTAATGCTGCAGTCACAGATGTTGTTTAATCCAGGAGCAGAGTCAGATTTTTCTTCCGAAACCATTGTGCAGCTGCACTTTCTCACTCATATCCATTACTTAAACTGAAATGCATAAACCAGACTTCTCTGATAACATAGCAGCCTAATTTTTCATATTTCTCCTGGTTTTTTTTTTACAGTGCCCCAAAAAGTCATTAGACTTAAATTGTTAATTTATAAATTTTCATGTTCCTTAGGTGAGAAAAGTTGATGCTCCAAAGGATCAGATGGACAAAGAATGGGATGAATTTCAAAAGGCAATGCGACAGGTCAACACAGTAAGTAATGGAATCTATATTTATTGATTCTAAATACTATACACAATAAGGAAAACAAGTTTCATGCAGCTCTGCAGAATGGCTGACATCTGCATTTGTCAGCTGTTTGTTTCAATGCAGTGTGTGGTTAAATGCACTTTATAAATGAGCAAATGGTTCTTTGTATTTTCCACTTAAATTAAATTAAGATGAAAACTTCTAATCAAGAACCAGTCATATGTATCTAGTTACATTTGTTACACTGTATTTTATTTAAATACTATTTAGCTAACATATACCTCAGATCAGTGTCCTGTATCCAAACAGGACCCAACTATGGACTCTTCTTTAGCTCTATATTCATACTTTAACTTTTAAAAACACTACCCATTTGTCTGTCTTTTTAAAAACATATCTATAAAGTGTAGGTAACCTGGATTTCTTGTTTAATTTAAATGCACTGGAAAGGAATTCCAAAATCTGGGAAGGTGACAAAAGAGTTTTGAGACACGTAAATTGGCCAGTTTTTCTGTACTTCAATTTTTCACTGTTTACCATTGCATGGAAAGTCTTCCTGCAGCAGGTGTTTATCTGCCCTTGTGTACAATTTAAAGATTACCTGGTGTTCTGGTCTTTCCCTAGAGTATTTGCTATTCTTTTAATTATTTTAATTGTAAATAGTTACTCATATGTTAACTGCTGAGAAAAGTGGTGCAGAAAAATGTATCATTGCTCATTTTAAAGCAGTCAGCACTATAAACAGAGCGAATGTTCATACAAAAGCGGTGGTGGATACATTTTGCTAGCATAAGCCATTCAGATAATTCTTCAGCTTAGGAGGAATCTTCTCAGTTATGCGTGGACCATTGATTGCATAGCATCTCCCAGACATTCAGATTTGAGAAAGTATATGCTGAAAAAAATAACAGGTTAGAAACACTTCGGGATCTAGTGGGAATAGTTAAACAGTATGTTCAATAACTGGTGTGTATTTAAGTCCCAAGCACTGGGATAGAGCTCTCGTTTCAGCCTCAGACTGTGGGTGTGTGTCATTTGTTTATGCTCAGTTTCAAATCGTAGTGTATTGAAAATTTCCAAAGATTAACCCCAAAGCAGCCAAAATTCTTTTGATTTTAAGAAAAAGCATTTCCATTTCAAATTAAACCAGACCATTTTTTTGTCTGTATTTGCCCTTGTAAAGATGGGAATATACACAGAGGAGATTGACACTAACTTCAGGTAGAGGGGAGCAGGGGAGGACACAGACATTGTAAAGGAGTGGAAGTGGAATTCAGGATGAAGGTGAATTTTCTCAGTGCTTTTCTGGTTTAGATTTCAGAAGCAATAGTGGCAGAAGATGATGAGGAGGGACGACTAGATCGCCAGATTGGAGAAATTGATGAGCAGATGTAAGTAGATCAATTTTTCCTCAAATTCTCTGTTCTCTAGCAGCAATGGATTGCTCTTTGACTAGAGTGATAAAAAACACTTTTAATCTGTGATACTACCTCTCATTAATCATCTGAGTATTTGAAGGACAGACTCCCTCAAATTGCAGAATGATACCTAATAATGACGTGGATTTTGATACAAAGTTTTGTAACTTTCTTCAAAGAGAGAATGCACTGGAATCACTGAAAGTACACAAGGCAAATACTTGAAATAAACTGTCCCTCTTCCCCTGTCAGGTGGATTAATGTCTTAGTTTGTATTTCCCTTGAGAATATTGATGGATGTAGAATTTATGTGAACATTTTAAAGAAACATTTTCTGTACTGAAAATGTCCTCTCCTGTGGCAAACCTTCTTTAATTCTAGTAGAAATTTACTTAAAGGTTTTGTGGAGTGATGCACTTCATTGCACAAAGTGGTTTGTTTGGTTTTTTTGTGCAGAAATGGTGGGTGTGGTGGTTGGATGGGCATTGGTTTAAACTGAACCCGAAATACAGCTCAGTGGAACAGCTGTTACCCTTTTTGTGTAGCTTGACACACTGATATTAACAGTGATAGAGGTAATGGTAGCTGAAAAGAAAGAGATGCAACAAAAAGAAGACACTGGAAATTAAAGCAACACTTCAACCATCTGGGCAGATTTACATGCTGCACATAACCAGTGTATGGTAACAACAGCATTGGGTTCAAACTGAACTTTGCTATTACAGGAATGCCTTTTAACAAAGTTCCTGTAATTCTGCAGAGAGCTTGAGCTAAACCTGCCTCTCTTTGAGGATTTATTTTTCTCACTAGCTACACAGAACCAAATTCAGAAATTTGTAGAGTACTTCAAGTTTTAACTGTAATTATTTTTCCCCAAAATAAAAGTTCCAAATACATTTTTAAAGACTTTTTGTAACTTTTGACTTCTGAGTGTATTCAAATGCAGGCTATTTCAAATTAAGTTGAAAATTAAATAAATTCCTTGGCCTTCAAATCTTCAGCTATGACTGCCTGTAAGAATCATATTGGTAATAACCCCTCCATGTTGACCCTTCTGAGCAAATAAGAATGAAAGGGGCAAAGGAGAATTTAAATCAGGCTGGTACTGCTTGGTATTTTCAAAAAAATATCCTGTTTAAAGTGGCTAGAATGGTTATAAAACACAATTCAAGGACAGAACTTTTTAAGTGAATGGAAACCTGAAACTTTTATATTGTGTTTACTTAAAATGTTCTGTTACAGCACAGAGGAAGCAGATAAAGAATCTGAACACATTGTGCTGCTTTTTTATTTTCAGAGATGCCACCACTAAGTTATCAAAATTGATAATTGATGTCACACCTTTCTCTCATGAAAACCATAAATGGAGCAGAGAATGATGTTCTTTCTTGTGTGGAAGTGGATATTGGTTCTGTGCTTTTGAAAAATGGTTTGTGACTGTATTGCAGTTGTTAAGTATTTGGATTAGATCTCATTGCTAGAGAATTGACCAAGCCTCTCTTTGGTCTGTTTTCACTTGATGAATACTGAGAAGGTGCACTACCATCTTGAAAGCTTATTTCTTTTTCACTGTTGGGAAGCTGTAAAGCTTCTTTATCCAAAGTTGTAGAAGCAAAATCCAGCACTGGAGATGATCACATTAATGTGGAGAGGCCCCAAATGCTAACAGGTGTCTCACTTTCCAACAGTGAATGCTACCGCCGTGTCGAGCTTCTGCGGAACCGCCAGGACGAGGTGAAGGAGAAGTTAAAGGAAGCCATGAGATTAAGAGCAGCACAAGAGAAAGAGGAGGAGGATGTTGGTAGTGAAGATGAAGAAGAACTGCAGGATTTGCTGTCCCAGGACTGGCGGGTGAAAGGGGCTTTGTTGTAGCATTTCTGCAATGTGATTGACACCCTTTTTATCTGTGGTCTTGGTTCCATTGTTAGAAGGGAGATTCTTTTGTTAAATATTTATTAAAGAGGATTGTGAGGTAAAGAGTCAAGCTTATTAAAAAAAATTTTGTAGATCTACAGTGGTGTATTACTTGTAAAAACTGTATATTGCAAATGTTTTACAATACTGAATGCACCTTTCCTATTAAAATGACTGGTTTCCTACCAGAAGTATTTTAGTGGGATTAATAAAACTGTAAAGAATCTCTAGGCTTTTGGAAGCATTAGCTCAGTTTGGTAATTTTGAGAGTTGGCTTATTGTCTATAGGAGTGCACAGTCTACAAAGTTTTCCCAGACTGAGGGTTTAGGGAAAGGGAAATACTATGCATTTATGTTTTCTTAAAATTTGTAGGTGCCCTCCTGTTCATTGCCCCAGCTCCCAATAAAATATGTACTTTTTTTTTTTTTAGGGTCTGTTACAGTTTCTCTGTGTATATAAGGACTAAGCTCAGAAATGCTGAGCTACAGTTTGTGCACAATGTATAGCCAGTAATGTGCCATAGCACTGCTGGATATTTTTCTTTATAGTCTGTTTTTGCTTAGTGCAGCCATCATGTAGCATACCTCACACTTCTTGAACCAGAGGGATGAGAACGCAGTGGTTGCATATCTGCATCACTTAATGAAAGGTGACAGAATGCCTGAGAGGAAGGTACTGCACTGGAGACTGAGGAGGTAAAATAATAACTACAAATACTGGAAATTTTCTTAAAATACTGTCTTAGGCACAGAAAGCATCTAAAATTGATTCTGTTCTGATAAACACAGATTAGGTAAAACCAAGAACCAACAAACTTGACAAGACTGGGATATGGAAAGCAGAACTACCTTTGGTAAGTGTCTACTTTTTTTTTTTTAATTTTGTAAATCATCAAATACTTCAAATTTGCTGACGACTTTTTAAAAATAAGAGGGATGTGTGGCTTGACTGATATAAAAAAGTGAAGTTGTTAAGAACAGGTTAACCTTTTTAAATGATATTCTAGATTTAAAGCTAGTGAGATTTTAAAGGGAGAAAACAAGCTTTGCTCTTATGAAAGCATTCCAGTTCTTTGCCTCAGAGATGATTATCAACCAAGCAATAAAGATTAGAACAAATCTTAGATGTTTGATTTGCCTGTTTTGGGGGAAATATTTGATATGGCAGAAGCCCTTATAGTGAGATGCTTTTTTATCACTCCCAATTTCTGTGATCCTTGGGTTCAGCTCTTCCTATTTATAAAGCTGTCAAAATTCAGGCAATGCTCCCTAGTGGTTTATTGCATCCACACCTTGCTGCTCACAAATGCTGGCTTACAGCTGTTAGTTAAGAGGAAGTGTAAGTGGCTGCTGCTGCTGCTGCAATGTTTGATGTGACGCTGAAGTCTTACATGAGTTAGGACTGTCACTGAGACGGCAATATTCAGAGAGTATTGAAATACAGAATAAGTGTTCAGAGAATATTGAAATAAGTAATGAATGTTTGGACAAGTTGGAGAAAACTTAGTTGGACCAAAACTGAAATAAAATGTCTTTGTATAGCATGAAACATTCGAACATCCATGTCTGAGGTGCAGTGAAAGATCTCTAGATCCATTAATTCCTGCAAAGAGAACTTCCAGCTGAGAGGGTGGTGCAGTATTAACAGGACAGTCTTTTTCAAAACAAACCTAAACACAGTCCCCCAGTTTCCCTCTGAGAAAAGCTAACTTTCTGATGGTTCTGTTTACCTTGGCTTTTCACTGACCCCACTCAACAAAGCACACAAGCTTGTTAACACTTAAAACTTCAGAACCACTCTGCATTTGGCTTAATTTCAGGGAAACAGGTGTAATGAATGTCAGGTTACATCATGGACATGCATGTTTTGACAGTATAAAAATGCTAATCTCTGAGTCTATAAATTACACTTCCTTTTTGTACATTTTTCTGTAATTTTACTTTCATCTTGCACAGAAATCTGCAAATTATGGTTTCAGCTGTGGATGAGTAGGAAGTTAACTGAGTATTAAAACAGTTCAGCTGTTTTAGTCCAGTTGCCTTCATCTTTAGAGGTATCTTGTGGTAAGAAGCTAAAGGCAGTGAGTTTAGTTACAGTGCAGGGATCTTGAACATTTGAATCCAAACCAGTGCACCCCATTGTTATTAGGAGAAGATGGCAGGAATAATTGCCAGATCACTCATCATTCTACTTGTTCTCCTTGCATAACTTGCTGAAAGAGAAACATGGACCAGCCAGCGGGTGTGCATTCCTGGGGAAGTGACAGGATCCATCCCTCTTGGTTGTGTCTTGTTTAGGAGTTGGTGCTCTTTTCCTTGGAGGAGTCTCACAGATCTCTAGTGTTCTATCCAAGTTTTTTACAGCTTACTGCATACAACTGTACCTTTCTTCAGCATTCGAAACAAAGCTTTTAGAGAGCTTTGTGAGGATGATGGGAGTGTCTTTGTCTCTTGTGACCACTGATGTGCATGTGCTGTGTCAAGAGGGCAAGTAATCATCCTGCTTTTTAGCAGGCTATGAGAAGAAGCATGGCTATAAGAAAGAAGTATCCTAACCTCATTTAGTAATCAAGCTAATTTATTAAAGGAAATAATCTCCTGTATCTTAGAAAAACATTGGGATAATTACTTTGTAATCTTAAGTATGTCTTCAGTTTTGGAAAACAATTTTATGTACTTCTGATGAGCTATTCAGATAGATTATAAACCAGAGGAAATGATTGTTTTAAAAATATGTACTTAATTTCTTTCTCACTTCTTAACTTCTTTGAATTCTGTTTCTTAACAATAAAGATTAAAGTAATCCTAATAACTAGCTCTGTATTAAAAATGAAATTTTAATTGGAATTAGGAAGACTATTTTAATTCTTGGATCTGCAAGACTTGCAGAAAACTGAAATATTTGAGTTAGGGAGGAAGACATTTGTAATCCTTATTTATTCATATAATAATGGAAAGTTGTCCAAACTTAGGAGCTGTGGAATTTCATGCCACCAAAAAGTAGTTGAGATTCCCCAGCTCAGTGGTTTTGGAGCTGGCAAGTGACTTCCAGGGGCAGAATGTGTGTCTGCATGTTTGAAATGGAGTTCCAGGGAGCAGCTCACCATAGCTACAGCTGCTGGTAGTGAGCTCTCCTCTGGCAATGGTAATTGCTGTGCCAGCTTCTCTCCTGCCCTGAAGAAATCAGCTGCTGCTGTCATGGCTGAGGTGTGGAACAAGGTCTGTATTTGGTACAGAGGAGCCCAAAAGTGACCATACAAAGCCAACAAACCCAAATAACAGCAAACCAATGTTCTCATTTGCTAACATGATTGTTTTTCCTCTGCTACAGCATTTAATTTTAAAATTTGCTTCAAATTGCAAATACTGATTGAAAAGAACATTAATGTCAGCTTTGGCCAGGCCTCCTGCCAATAATTCAATTTGAGGAGAGACAAATTTTGCTTATTACATTCCACTATAATTAGATTCTCTGCATTTTATCATCTTAAAAACACTGTACTAGGAATGAGAAAAGCCATATTATTAAATATTTTCAGCACTTAAAAATACTTTTTTTCTGATAACTCATAAAAGTAGCCCTAGAAAATCAGACATTCAGCCTGCATGAATCATGCTGTAGGTGTCATTAGAAACCACAGTGTATGTAATGTTACAGAAATTCCCTTTTGTTAGGTACCATCAAATGACTTTGACTCTTTAATTTCAGTTACTGTCATAAGACACATGCCAGTCTGCAGGGGGACAGGACACATGCATTGATGCAGAAACTGACTTAATCAACATTACTGCATTCCTTCCTGGAACCAAGGAATTAAGTACACTTCAGTGCCAAGAAGGGCAGTGTGTACTTTTATCAATCCCTAGAAAGGACTTACATCCCTAGAAAGTGTTGCTTGGGCCAAGAGATGGAAATTTCATGTGTGAAGCAGTTTTTCAGTGTTTGCCTTCTTTTGATCTTCTGTTCATCAGTTCATTAGAATTATCCTGGCCCAAGAGCTGGGAGAACAAATGTGAGCAGTTCCTTTGTGTAGACATCTAAGCCAGGTCTTTCTTCCAAAAATACAGTGGAGGCACTAATGCCTTGCACCATGGGTGACTGCAGAGGTTACAGGGGATAGAAGGGATCTCTGTTGAAATCCCCCCTTTCAATGCTGTCCTTTGAACACACACTTTGTGTCACCCAGTCGAGCAGCCTGACAATGACAGTCTTTCCTGCAGAAGCTGTGCCACTGTTGAGCCACTGGATCAGTGAGCATTGTGACTTTTAGATAGTCATGACACTCACTTCAGAGGGAGAAGGTCCTGTCCCAAGAATACAAACAGTGCTGAAATACATTCAGCTGGTGTTAAGGCTGCGGAAGAAATTGGGTTTTCAGTCTGTCTTGTGAAACCTGACAAACAGCACTTTGCCTGTGCAGCCTTCTGAGGCTGAGGCACTTCCCAGGTGCCTCTGTTCATGGCACCACTGACACTGTGCTGCTTCCTAGGAGCTTGACTGGCCCAAATGGGAACCTTGGGACTCACAGATGCCCTCTGGCTATGCCTGAAAACAGAAAGCACTCTGTGTATTAGCAGAGGACTAACTTTGTTTATTTTCCTTCTGGTTTCAGCCAGCATTCATGCTGTCAATGTTTTTTCACTTGAGAAACACAACAGAGCTGCTTCAATTCATTTGAGATGTTTCCAGAAACCTAATTCCAATTTGATGACGCAAAAGCTGCTGAATTTCTGCTGTCTTTCATCTGGAAAGTCACATTTGTGTGGGCAGTGACCTTTTCAGAGCGAGTACATGCCTCTTATCTACCTTTGGGCATGAGTGGTTTACTTTTCTGTCTTGTTTACTATTATTCTTTATCCTTTTTTTTCCCCTTTTTTCTTTACCACCTTGTCTTTTGTTTGGCTGTTTTGTATATTAAAGATATGAGAAGCTTTTTCTTGCATTCAGAAATATTTTATATAATATTATATTATTATAATTTTCTATAATATGAAATAATATTAAACTAATGAAAATAAGCTTAGAATTTATCACATTTCTGCCTGTATTTTTGCAAAAACCCTCTCAGAAAACTTCCTTCTTAGTCCATATGTCTTTATTTTACCTCTCCTCATTCCTCACATAGACGTGCCCCTGCACTAGTTTGTTCAAATCTTTCAGTTCTGCAAGCCACATGTGAATTATTTATGTGAAAGATACTATACACCCCAGAGCTGCTGCTGCCCTTTGCCTGGCAGCTTTACTGGGAGAGCAAAGCTTTGACCTACTTAGTGTTGAGCTGCAATAATATATATTTTTTTTTCATTTACAGTATCCAGGCTAGCCATAGAAAATTGCTGTTGAAGAAATGAAGACTTATGGAGGTCTCTGCTGTGAAACCAGCTTCAGCTCTCCTTTCAAGAATGACAAGTTAAATACATTTTAAGTAATAAAAATATATTGCAAGTAATAATAACAGAGAATTTTATCAAATTAGTATTACAGCCTATAGTTTTTCTTAGGGTTGCAATAGCTAATTGTCAACATTGGGCAATGCCTCCTTGGTGCAGAGGTGCAGCAAACTGTTCTGTAAGGGTGCCCTTGGCACCCTTCATCATCAGGGCTTGTTCTGTGGCTGCATCTGTATTGAGAAAGCTGTTGATTTCTACAGGTCTCCAAGTCTGCATGCACATCCTGGTTGTGCCCTGGTTCCAGGCTCAGACTTGAGAGCTGCCCGTACTCTGGAGATCATGGGGAATAATCGTCAGATGCCGCCATATGCAGGGGCAAGAAGGGGAAGCAGGACCCCAAGCTCAATCCCTGAAGGCAGGTAGAGACCTTTAACTGAGTAGGGACAAGGAGGTTGTACAGTCTTGTGTCATTAAGGATGCTACTCTTGCACGGCCAGAAAGCCTGCTTTCTCCTGAGGCCAGAGCTGCACCTGTGACAGTGTCCCAAAAGCAGAGGTGGCCAGAGCACAGCCAGGGGTGCTGTAATGCAGCAGCAGCTCAGGGCCAGCCCCTTCCTTTGGCTTGTGTGTCAAGAGAGACTCGAGGCTGTGACTGCAGTGCTTCAGCAGATCCAAGGGAGGGGTTGAACAGCTGGAGCAGAGTGTCAGGGCAGCAGGAGACAGCTCCTGGGCCTGCTCTGCTCTCCATTCCCTGTCCTACTGCACATTGCCGTGCTCCTCCCAACTGCTGGGCTGGCTCCTGGCAGGGTGGAAGTGATGACTGGAAGCCTTGCACAGGGCAGTGCTGCTGGGAATGTATTACAAAGGGCCTTAGTAATACAGTACTCAGCATCCAAGTTCATTCTTTTGTTCCTGTTTTCCTTTCCCCAGTATCTGATCTATAGCTCAATCTGGGAAAAGACCAGAGATATAAATCAGTGGCTGCTTGTAACATGAAGCCAAATTTGTCTTTTCTATGCAGTGTGGGAAGTTCTCACTGAGCAGTTTTGTTAAAAGCTGAATCAAGTTTTGTAGAAATACTGCTGACTCTACTAATTGCACAGTCTGGCTCCCTCTAGTCCTGAAGAGGCTCATCATGCCTGACAATGGGCTAACATCCTTACTAAGGTTGCCAGTCTTGCACAGATGTTACACTGTTTCCCAATGAGCACTGGGACCTTAAGCGTGATGATATGAAACCTTTAATCATGAATTGAAAACAAGCAATTTGTCTGTGATCTTAGTTTGACAATCCATAAAATAGTGCTTCTTCAACGACAAGTTAGCAACTTGGTTACAAAGAACAAAGTTTAAACAACACAACAGTTGTATGCACAAAGCTACCACGTCTTTTTTTGTTTTTTTTAATCAGGAAAAAAATTTATTTATAAAAACGTCTCATTTAACTTACTGTCGAGTCTCTAGCTGAATACAGTGGTTTAGAACACTAACGGCCCATGCTTTTATACAGATTAGCCAAAGCATGAACATCAATGAAAATCAACCCCCGAAAATAACTTGTCTCTGCTTTATGTTATGAGCCACAACAGTATTAAAACTGGAACAGTAATGAAAGCAACACAAGAGTTAGGAAGCACAGTTGCTTAAAGAGTAAAGGAAGTGTTTTCTTTTGATGTCTCAGAATAATAAGAAAGTTAGAAATGGCAGAAACTCCTCTGTAGATTAGTCCATAGAAAGCATTGTCTCATGGGGCTTTGGAAAAGTCCTGTCTGGTGGCTAATGCACTAGGGCATGATGAGATACATTACAGAGCCCCCAGGCCAGTAACTTCTGAAGACAGCCTAAAATGTAGGAACAAAAATGAGGAAAAGAAAAGGAAAAAAAAGGCAAAAAAAAAAGAAAAAAAAAATCTTCTCACTATTAAAAAAATACCACTTGAGTACAACCAGCATAGAACAGCATTTCAGTGCAGGCAAGCTTTCTCACACAGAGGTTGGTGGATTTTTTTGTCTTAAATGTCAATTATTGAAACAGTTACAATAATCCAGAACAATTTTACAGCAGTTTTCTAGAGCTTTTAAATAGCTGTGGTACCTTGACATTATTCCCAGTTTTTCCTTCATTATATGCAACCAGAAAAAAAAAGAAGAAAAAAAAAGAAGAAAGGAAGCCACAAACGAACAAAAAACCCACAAAACCAAAAGAATCCCAACAAAACCAACCAAAAACCCCATTTGGATAAGTGCAAATTGTAACAATGGCAGTTCTACAAATGGTTACAGTGACAAAACTTAGTGCAAAGGTGCTAAGGTGAAGAAAAGCCCACAGAATACAGAAATGACACAAAATACTGATAGTACTTAGCCCTATACAATAACACACTTTGAAATACCATGTTTTAAAAAGTATTGCATTTGCATTGTGTTTTTAGTTTATATTAAAATGCACTGAATACAGTTCAATTGTTAAAGCTTTGTGTCCAAGGAGTGCAGAGTGGATGAACATGGCGGGCTAATGGGATTCTGGATTTGGCAGTGGTGAGGAAAACAATATTGCATTACTGAGTTATGCAACAGAAATTAAAAAGAAGGTGGATGGACAAACATAAAATGCAGTTAAGAACTAGTTCCAACAGCTGGCAACCAGCCACTCCATTCCCCAGCCCTCTTGGCTTTGGCTGCCGTTACCTGTCTCGTTTTAGTTAAACTGAACATCCTGAAGTGCTTGGTAAAGGGATGGGATCTGTCCAGGCAGCAGCCTTTGAATGACCTCTAAAACCCTACATGTTTTCATGATTACCATACAACCTGACTGCACGATTAGTGGGGAGTTAAACAGGGATGTGTTTTATAGAGAAACCTAACAAAAAATGGTCATTTTGGCTGAATAAAACATACACGAGAGGAAATACGAGATAGTGACGGCATCTGGCTTGTACTTGCTCTGGAGTACTCACAGGAATAAATACTGTGCCGGTGTATGTAAAACATTTGAGTGCAAAAGGAGGAGCCTGCTCGCTCTCTCTCTCTCCCCTTCTCTTCCTCCCTCCCTTCCTCCCTCCCTAAAGCAGAGTTCTTAAAATTATATTTTTCCAAAGTGGAGAAAAATGATTGTACCCTTTAAAAGAATAATTTGGAAAGGCACAGGTACCTGGTGTTTTTTCCTTACTGTTTTACAGTAATTTTAATTTAGCAGTTTTTCTGAGACCAGAAAGCTTCATTTGTTGTATGCAGAAGTACCTGAAGTTGGTACCTCCTCACCACCACCTCCTGCTCATAGGCAGATTTTGGGATGGGGAATGGGGGTCTCCAGGCCTTTTGGGAGCAGCAGAATGACTGAGGGTGCCGGCAGCACTTCACAGGGCATTGCAGGGGCACTAGTGATCATCAGAAGTGCCAGATTTGCATGTTCTAGCAATAGAAAAAATGCATCAGAGGTGCCAGTTTGCCATAAGGAATTGTTCTGTAATGGATCTAAGTGTATTTTTATGCCGGGCAGCATTGCCGGAGCAGGACCCGGCTGTCACCATTTTGCCTCATTTACTTTTTTCCCTTCCCTTCGCTCTACCTCCCTTGCTGGGCTGCAGCCCTGCCTCGCCGTGGGGCTGCCGAGGGCCAGCCCTGGGCACGGCCCCGTCGGAGGGACGGTGTCCAGGGAGAAGGAGCCAGGGCTGGCACCTGCTGGCTGTTGGAACTAGTTGGTAGGTGGTGCCTGGTGTTAGGTGTTATGGAGAGCGGAAGACGACTTGAGTCGGCAACAGTTAACACTAGCAATTGAACAGAAAATAAAAGATGCCGTATTGTTTCCTTGATAACTAGGATCTACCACAGACTCTTGGCAGAGCTGGCAAAGCTTGCATTGTGTCTCATCCCTTCAATATGGAGCAAACTTCTGGCGGTCAGATTTCTTAACCCCGCTCGTCGAAGGAATTTTGGCAGTGTAAGCGGACAAACTCCCCGTGGCCCCCGCGGCGGCCGCGGCATTTAGTGCCAGGAGTGGGACAGTTTTCATGCCAAGCAGACTGGAGACAGGAACGGCATAGTGGGTGGTTGGCAGAGTTGGTAGGGGAGGGGGGGTACTGACGGTAGCGGCGGAGGCGGCCGCCAGCACGGCCATGGAGGTGGGGGTGGAGGTAGGGGTGGCAGACTGAGAGAGGTTCATGTTGAGGTCAACAGGGGTCGTGACGGAAGCGGTCTGGGTGCTGACTTTAGCCATCTCTAAGCTGCAAACGAAGAGAGGAAGAGGAACAAACAGGTTGGGAGGGTTCAGCCAGGGTGGTGGGACCGGGAGGAGGAAGAGGAGGAGGAGGAGGAGGAGGGAAGGAGGGTAGGACAGCAACCACGAAAGGGCAGGATCCAGGATTAGATCGGTGGACGAGGGGGACAGACGAGTGGGAGGGAGAAGGGGGAGAGAGAGAAAAAAAGGGAAAATGAGGGTCAAAGGAGGAACATGTTATGTGTTAAAGAAGAGAAATAACAAAAGGGTTTTCCATGATTTGATGGGGAAAACATTACTGAGACTCTAAAGTTCTTTCAGAACAGAAATAAAAGAAAAAGGAAGAGGGTATGGAGGTGTTGCTAGTTCATTTTACATATGAAAAAAAGAAATCTAAGGAATGCAGGTAATGGCAAAAAGATGGAAAAAAATGAAACTTAAAAGAAAACTTAAAATAACTATGAAGTTTACTCCCCAGCACTGGTATGGTGAATTTTGCTTTTCAAAATTAGGGTATTTTTGAAAGGGGGACGCGGGGGGTTTTGGTAATTTTTTTCAATTTGTCAGTTTTGTGACATAAATAATACCCTTAATCATTTTGCTAGGATGAGAGGAGACTGAGCAACAATTTGCTGCTTCCATTTAAGGCGTAAAGTTTTGGTTGTTTTGGTTTTTTGTTTTTTAAGTGAGTTAGTTTTTAATTTCATTCACTGTGAGGTCAATGTGCATTTTTCATATAAAACAAACCAGATTAGCCAGTGTGTTCACTTCGCTTTATACTTTCCCAGACTTTTTTTTTAATATCACAACAAAATATTTATCTCCTTATATTAATCTACTTATAAGTCAATTAGTAAAAAGGAACACTGAAGAACACCCCGGCTGGCTCAGCAGTGATATCCTTTCTGAGCCTGTGCCGTGGTTACAGAGAACATGACAAAGCTTTCCAGCTGACACACAAGGTACTACATGGATACAACAGACACATCCTCAGACAGACCCCACCAGCACCAGCAACTTCCAGACTGACCTGACCTCCGAGCCCAGGGCAGTGCTGGGCTCTTGGGAGGGTGTAGGAATCAAACCACCCTCACTTTAATCTAACTCCACCCATCAGCAGGCAAGATGAGTTTGGCCCATATACTTCTGCTTTTCTGTACATCTTAGACATTAAAATACAGTAATTCCAAGGATACGCTGTTTTCTTTGTATGGCAAAATATTTGCCTAGATAAACCCTCCCTTTGCCCATTTGCTTGTTGCAGCTTGTGCACTGGCTTTTGGGTTGGCAAATAACACAAATACAAATTTCAGGACACTTTTTGCAGGTGACCAGCTGGGAGCTATAGCAGCCTAGCATAGAAATAGGACTGTGGGTTAGAAAACCTTTGGTAGCTACAGTTGCATGTGCATTCCTAGTCAGTTTGGGGTCGTCTTTTTGGCAATTACTAACTTGTCAGGCTCCTGGGCTTTCTCCTGAGGTGAGCTGAGGAGCTGTAGCAGCTCCTTGCTTCCAGAGTGAAGTGTCAGCAAGCTGCTGGCTGGCCATGCAGAGGACTTGGTGCTTTCTTCCCACACCCCATCAGGCTCAGGAAGGCTTCCCAGCACAGGGTTTGTGCTGGTCCCTGATGGGGACTGGGTAAGCAGGCTTGGAGATCAGCTGCAGGCTGGGAAGGAAACATGGTCACCCCACACAGGGCTTGGAAAAGCCTCTCTTTTCCTCACCTTAGACACAGTTTTGAGAGTAACAGCCATTGCCATTCATTGCCAGAGAAAGGCAATGATGAGCACATTGCCTGCCTCATGCAAGGATGCAAGGATCTACCAGGATACGTAGGCAATAGGGACACTGGATTAGAGCTTCCCAAAATACTGCTGCTGATGGTGAGTCTGAAGGACACCTGAGGTGGGTCTGAGCTGGGGAGAGGAGTGTGCAGGAGACAGGGAAATGTTTGAGCACTGAGCTCCTCTTCTCCACAAAGAAAAGAGGGCTCTTGGAGCTAAACACCTCAGCAGCTTTTGCTGGGAAGCTGGAAGGAGCACATCTGTGAGGGAAGGAAGGTGACTGCATGAAATTCAGACTCCTTTGAGGGAGGTGAAGTTTTGATTTTCCTACCCTGAAGTCTTTATCTGTCCCCATGGATGAGAAACTCAGCTTTTCTAAGCAGAGAGAAATGCATCCTTGTGCTGCTTGCCATCTACTCACACAGAGGAGTTTATGTCAAGACCACTGAATCAGAGACTCCAACTCCATTGCACATCCTCAACTTGGGGGTGTAGGAACTACATGTGATACCTTAGGATGTTTTGAAAAACTCAGTTTATACAGTTGGATTTTTTAGTATTACTCAGTATTATTCTGGGATAGAGGTCCACAGAAAGGTACTGCAGGACTGTGTTTCAGTGACTCCAAATTTGTGTACTGTACATTTTAAAAAACCAAAAAAATCCTTACTGATATGGGGGGGGGTGGTGGTATTTGAGCCTAAGCTTTTTCCTGCACCACCAGGGAGAACAGATTCTACAGGCCAAAATGCTGGTGTTGGTAGCAGCCATTCCAACTCCCTGTCTCTGGTTTACTCTCATAGGTACGAGAGAGAAATGCCCCCATTTCCTGTTTATTACTAGTGGCAACACATAAGGTGGGAGGTCATCAGGTTAGCTATCAGCTGTCCCATGGCAGTGGCAGTTTCCCAAACGAACTGTTGATGCAACAACATTGCATGTAAAAGGGGGTGAGGCAGCCTTCATACAAAATTTCACAGTGACAATTTTACACTGTCCCTCTGCAGGCCTGCACCTTCTGAATATATACACTGAAGGCCACATCCTGCATGCCCTGAAACTGGTGAAGAGAAGAGAGCAGGTGTGGCTTGGCAGTCCTGTTGGGTCTGTGAATGAACCTCTTGTAAAAAATACCTTTGGGAAACTGCCCTTCAACAAGGAGAAAGTGCTGCTGGCTAAATTAATTTATAATCCAAAGTCAGATATTACACAGAAAAACTAAACTGCAGTTCAATCTTAATAAAAGCAAGAAGATGGAATTGGGTAATGAAAATCTTGTTACTACAGAGGAGACCAAAGAGACAGAAGGCTTTACAGGAAAAAAGGACATTCCAACTGCAAACAAGCTAAGACACACTCTATTTGTACAGAGGCCAGCGCTCGGGTAAGCAATACAGAATCAAACCAATACTTTATAAGATTTAAATCTCTGTCTTGATATGATATCAATATATTTATATATCTATAATTTAGAATATACTATGTACATATCCAACACCAGATTGCAATAAAAGTCTTAAAACAAGCTGATAAATTATTCTATAGACAGCAACTTTGGTTGGAGGACAGCCTAAAGATACACGCAATATATTTCAGGAATACTGTGGATAGATAATTTTGCTTTTTTACATCTGATGTTGCTGAAAAACACGGGTTTATGCAGAAACACTGGCCCTGGAAACCGATTCCCATGAACAATAGATCTTGTAAGGGAGAAAAAGATCTACCTTATGCTGAACGCTTATAGGGCTGTTATTTTTTGTGATTATTATTTTCACATACCAGACCACAGTTTGGGCAGTCTAGGTACTCGTCTCTTCCCCAAAGCTGTTTTATGCCACCGTCTTTTAAAAGAGACAGCATCACTTGTGGCAGGTGTAGGAGGTGGCTCCCAGCACACAGAGGCAGCAGCAGCAGCCTGGCTCTGCACCTCTGTCCTGCCCCAGCACCTAAACCTCACTAGAGCAAACCTCTCGCCTGTCACACAGCTTCTCAGTCCTCCCCCAGTGGGACTGAACTCGCGCTGCTGCTGTGGTGGCACCTGTCTGGACAGCAATGTCTCATGTGAAAGGAGAGGTCTGGAACAGCGTCACTTTTTAAAATGAAAAAGCCACCTTAATTGCCTACGTTGTCTTACAGCTTAATTTAGTACACGTTACTTTAAGAGTCTTCATTTACAAATGAAGTCACTTCATCTAAATACAGTTCCAACACATGGTACATAATAATATATGATGGTTTATTGTAGATGCTGGTAACAAATTACTTCTATCTAGAAATTTAACAGGAACAAAATACTTTGTTTCTGGTTTCACAGGGTATAGATAGAGATCCGTGGTATATGACTGCTGAGGAGTTTTCTTCTTTGCGAAAGTATGTTAAAAGACCTCATATAGATCCCATTCCACCACAAGAACCATTAAACAGTAATCAACAGAAGTGTGAGAGTTCACAGATTTTTCTAAAGTGAGTCAAACAGTTTTGTTCACTAGAGTTTCTGTCTCTGGTGAGCAGCTCACTGCAACTCCATTAATAAGTGCATTATTTTTTTTTGCATACTTTAGCTGTCTTCAAGATCCTAAATTGTTATCTTCCGAGATCCAGATGCATGCCATGTGGTGTTTGTGCAACTAAAAATGAAGGGGTCTATTCTCGTCTCGATGTGTGGGGAATCCCTGAACACCAAGAGAAGAACATATCCTTAAGGGTTAAAGGAGGGAACACATTTTTATTTGATTACAGGGCTTATGGAAGTGACTTATATTTGCTACAAAGAATATAAATCAAAAGAGCTGTAGGTTGTTTTACGATTCTGGAAATGGTTTATCCTAGTTTTCACAGTGCCACCCCTACATGTATCTTTCCCTAGGAAGCTGCTTTCAGACTCAGTTATGAAAAGCAGTGTTTTTGTCTGCTAGAACACAGAGCTGCACAAACATCCCATTCCTCCACTGCAACCACTGCAGTGGTGCTCTACAAAACTGGGATGGACCACAGGAAGCCATAGACCTGCTGTGACTGCAGCTCCCACATAAATCACATACTTTGTACTACCTTAACAGCAAACATAGTTAAACACAAAGCTTGATTCATATCACAGTAATTTTGTGGGGGAAAAAAAAGAAAATAAAAGAAAAATAACCCGATAAAATACATAGCTACCCCCCTCCCCCCCATATATTGCTTCAGTCCAGCATTTGCAAGTAGATCTATGAGACAGCACTATATCCGCTGCACTTTCTTCTCCGTATAATTGCAAATAAAAGTGGGATCAATTTTAATATTCTTCTAAATAATCATGTAAAAACTGTTAAGAGACGTAAGCCATCACCATGGCTTAGGTAAACAGCCAGTGCTTTCATTAAGTCTGGGACCAGGAAGTGGAGAAGCATAGTCTCACCCTGTCTCATTAGGGAATGCTTCTTACAGATTTGTGGTGCTGTCTCTGAAGAAGTAAATCCTGTGCCTCTTCAGCAACCTGATGTCAGCTTATCAACTCTGAATGGCAATTTCCACTTGGCAAATAAAATCTATTTTGCAATCTGTTTCACTATATTTGCCATTCAGGATAGTAAAATGGGTCTGTGAAAAGTGTTTTTCCTCTAAACAATTTATGCTTTTCATTTCATTTAATTTATCCACCAATATTTTAAGTAGATGCTAATATGAGTATTCAGATTTTGCAGCTTTTATCATTCAACATGTAGCTGGAATTGCACCGGATTAAGCTCCTTTTCATATAAGCCAACAGCAAACCCAGGTTCTAATGATACAGGCTTTATAAACCATTAGGAATTGAGTAATACTATGCAAAATGGACACTGCAAAGCAACTTTCTGGATCTACCCAGGACAGACATTTGCTGGAGAGCAGACAGAGCAATCTCGCAGAAGCATGATCACTTACAAAGCCAACTTACCTTGCATTAATGAGGTACTGTGCTAAGCTGATGTTTGCAGGGGATCCTGTGATTGTAACTTGTCGTTCTGCGGAGCCTTCTGTGGCATTAGCAATCTTGATCTGCGCTCCTGACATCTGCCTGATTTCATTTATCTTACTGCCTTGTCTGCCAATAATGCAGCCTATTAACTGGAGCGGGACAAAGACTGAGATTAGTGCCACAGACACAAGCAAAAACCACTTAACTGCAATCTGTAGTATTGCTAAAAAGAGGGTTATGAGCAGCTCAGTAGCAAAACAAAAAGATTTTTGCTCTGCTGTTTGGAAGTAATCTCTAGTGCAGTCTATTGTCTCTATGGTCATACGCCTCTAGATCCAGTTTTTCTGCTACATGGGTAAATCACCTTGAAACATTTCTGGTGTTTCAAGACTATTTCACTGTCTCAGTGGCAGAAAATGACAGTGTGCTGTGATGTTGAGAAAACCAAACCACTTGCCATTGGCAGCAGCAAGCCAAGAGCAGCAGCTGGGAGCCAGGCTGACCATCCACAGCTGCTGTGTGTGGCTCTGCACCTTTCCAGAGCACTGACAACCCTACACCTCCCTGGGTACACATGGTGAATGCTTGGCCAGGTACTGTGCATTAAAGTCAGTGGGATTTACAGCTCTCTGACTGCAGGCAGAAGCAAGCATAGGAAGATACTGAAATTTGTCTGCCTTCCTTTACAGAAACTTACCAAAACTCTTATTTTGTGAGTAGAGCTGAGCCTGAGCTGTGTGTGTGTGCATGTGTGTCCCAGGGTGTTTCTCCTCCAGGATGGGGAGCCCCAGGAGCAAATGGGCATGGAACCAGCAGCTGAGGCTGAGATGTTTTGGTTTCTGTATGGGTGAGGAGGGGGATTTTGTTCTGGGTGCTGAGAAGCTCAGCCATGGCCAGAATGAGTAGAAAACAGAAACTTTGCTCTACAGGTCTGTTGATGCTGGGATAATGTTGCCGGTTTTGCAGAAGGATATGCCAAGATGCAGAGACTGCCCTTCCCCTCCCACTCTTCCCACTGCTTCAGGCCCTGACATGTTACCCTTTGTGGTACTGTAGTACTTGGAGCAACTGGCCAGAAACAGATTCACATTGTCCACATATTTTATCAACAGAAGAAAAACCTCCAAATGCAATCCTTGCTTCACACTCAGGGACAAACAGAAAGCCAAAGTAGATACCCAAGTAGCTGAAACAAAGACCAAGTTTTGACGAGCACAAGAGGAGCAACCACAAGGGGGGAAAAATGGGGTGGCAGGAAATGCACACAGGATTTCCCATCCTGTTACAACAGGAGGGCCTTGCTGAGCTCCCTGTCCTCATCCCAAGGAATCTCTCTGAGTGTGTGACTATATGCCAGTGCAGTGGACTGGTGTGTGCTCCACTAGGAAGCCTCTGGCCTGTCTGTGTGCACACCAATGTGCCTGCACTGGCTACCTGTGGGCAGCACAGGGATCCCTAAGCCTCTTCTTCTGATGCCTCAGTCTCACTGGCCTCTGTGGCTGCAGGGAGTGAACCTGGTGCAGGAGAGGGGAGCACCAGAGCATGGGCAGAGAAGGAACCTGCTGGGGTCACTCATTAAGCTGCCACTTGCATCTGCTAGGGGTCCTCAGTGATGCCCAGCTTGTCAACCATGTGGGTCAGTGCAAAGACTGTGCCGTCTCCTAGCTGAGCTTGAGTTAGGTAGTGAGGATTCAGTCCACACTGGTCAAGGACACTGGTAATGCTGGTGCCTCAAAGAGAGGTTAGGTAGCTTTTTTGCCTGAAGCTCTCCAAAGTCACCCTTCATTGCTGTGACAACAAGATGCTTGGACACCCTCTGCAAGCTGTGACACAGCCTGTGGCTCATGCAGAACATACAACTCCATGCAGGAAGGATAGTAGTGCTGGGGACTTGGGCTCTCTCTGAGGTGCCTTTCTCATTACATGTTACTTACACTGAAATTTGAGCAGTATCTTGAGTATACAAGACCTGTTGTGTTCTTGAAGAAGTTCAAGGGACATTTGATTATGGGCATTTGGTTTTACATAAAGAGATCTGCCTGAGATGCCTTGCTCTGAGATGGAATCATGTCAAACTCCATCCAAACACCTCTGGCCCATTTGGGAGAGGAGCCAAACCTAGCACAGACTATACCAAGCCTGCTATACACTGTAGTCTAATACTGTACTTACTAATAAGTATAATCATCACTGGCACAGGGTCCTGTTGAAGATCTGTCACTTGTGGTGTCCCCCAAGGTTCAACACTGGACCCAGTGCTGTTTAACCTGTTCATCAATGATTCAGATGAAGGGGCAGAGGCCTGCTCAGCAAGATCCCTGATGACACAAAGCTGGGAGGAGTGGGTGACACTCCAGAGGGCTGTGCAGCCCTTCAGAGGGACCTCAACATGGTGGAGAGATGGGCAGAGAGGAACTGTCTGAAATTCAACAAATGTGGGGGCTGACCTGCTGGAAAGCAGCTCTGTGGTGAAGTACCGGGGGCCCTGGTGGACAACCAGCAGTGTACCCTTGGGGTCAAGAAGGTCAGTGACATTTTGGGGAGCATTAGGAACAAATAACACTGCCCAGATCAATGGAAGTCATCCTGCCCCTCTACTCAGCCCTGGTGAGCCATGTCTGGAGTGCTGTGTCCAGTTCTGGGCTCCTCAGGACAAGAGAGACATCGAGCTCCTGGAGCAGGTCCAGCGCAGGGCAACAAAGATGAGTAACGGACTGGAGCACCTCTCTTATGAGGAAAGGCTGAGGGGACTTGGCCTGTTCAGCCTTGAGAAGAGAAAACAGAGAGGGGACCTCAGGAATGTCAGAATCTGAAGGGAGGGTGCCAAGAGGGTGGATCCAGGCTTTTCTAGGTGGTGCCAGGAAATAGGACAAGAGGCAATCAATGGGCGAAAACTGATGCACCAGAAGTTCCACCTGGATGTGAGGAAGAACTTTTTCACTGTGTGGGTGACCAAGCTCTGGGACAGGCTGTCCAGAGTGGTTGTGGAGTCTCCCTCACTGAAGGTATTCATGAACCATCTGGACACAATCCTGTGCCATGTGCTCTAAGATGACCCTGTTGGAGCAGGGAGGTTGGACCAGATGGCCCTGTGGTCCCTGCAACCTGAACCACTCTTTGATTCACCCACTCTGTGAATACTTGTATTTTAAGTACCTATAATATACACATATGTACATAGTGTGTACATGTATATGCAGATATGTTTTGACTCTCTCTCTTGATGTGAGCTGGAAGTGCATCAAGCCCAGTTGTCTATCTCTGACTGTGGCAGTAGCCCACCCTTACAAGGAAAAACAAAAAAGGTAAAACGAGTGTGAGGTATAAAATAAAGTTTCTGCTGGTATTTCAAATTCCCTCCTAAGGCTTACAGACCACCTGAGCAGCAGCTGCTATCTCTGCCTTTATGCTCCATAGTCCATCTGTCTGACAATTTCTTTTTGAACCTGTTTCTCCTTTTGCTGTCCAAGGGCCATGGCAGTGACTTGCAGAGCTTGCTGATGCGTTAAGTATCACAGTTTGTTTGTACACCCAAAATATCATCTGGTGTACCCTCCTTGATCTGTGAGCACCAGGCAAAAATCGTTCCCTTTCCACTTTCTCTACACCACCTCTGTCTGTCTTCCCCAACCTCAACATACCTCATTTCTCCTTGTGCCAAAAAAACTGCAAACAAACCAACCCTGAAACACATGTTCTGCTTTTTTGCCTTTTTCTAGCTCTGATCTTTGCTAAAGTTCTGCTGGCACGAATGGAAACAGAACTGAGTCAGGAGTCTGGACTCTTAAAGGGTGGGATTCAAAGGTCTCCTATAATTCCTCCCATCTCCAAATCACTGATGCCACGAATTGTCCTCTGCAGCTTGGTATCTGCTGTCAGGAGCAGAGGGGTTGACCACAGGTACTCATGGTTCCCCCTGGTTCCCTGCTGCCAACAGCCAGTCCATTTGCTTTGGCAAAGCCTCTGCATTAGCTGAGCAAGCAGGTGCTCATCACAAATTAGACTCTTCAATCTCTTTTCAGAAAGATAGAGGCTGAAACTCTTGGTTTCAGGTTTGGTTGGTCTGTTTTGTGGTTTTTTTAACCAGAAGGTCTGGGGCAGAGAATACTATAGGGGGAAGTATCTCCTGAGGCAGATTATAGTTCTTTACAAACTTGCAGCAGGGCCTGGAAAAAGATGCTTAAATACTCTGTATCTCTTAAGAACAAAACAATAATAATGTTAAGAAATTTCCTTGCCACCACAATGCAAAATCTGGACCATAGTAATTGCACAGACCTTGCAATAAGCCATATAGAAAACTGAGAAAACATGGGCTGCTCCGAGAACATTTTGCACATGTGGGTCCCAATCATTGGCAGGGAAGTATTTGAGGCACCATAGGGAAATAAAGGCAATTCTTCGAGTCTGCCATATCCATCTTGGATGGACTGACACTTCTGTTTCTGTGGAGTAGTGATCAGATTTACAGCTGCCTCAAAATGTTCTTGGTGCTTTCTGTGGGCAAATTGCTTTCCTTGTCCCTGACTGCTGCTCCCAATATATGCAAAATCTGCCTAATTTTTATGAGATGGATTTTGAAATTATTATTGGTCTGTTCATTTATTCTCAATGGATTTTTTGGGGTATTGACATATGAATCTTAAGACATCTGTTATCTACACCTAAGGGTGCCATCTCTTCTTTCTTTTAAGGTTCTTTTAAGGACCGGTTTATGCCACTTTATTCTGGGATTTAGGTGAAACACACTTATATTGTGCAACTTGGGCAGCAGTGGAAGGACAGACAAGATCCCAGCAAGGAAAGAAAGGCAACCAAATGCCCCCGCAGGAGGCTTTGATGATCAAAATGAGACACTAGATAAAGACAAAGGTGACTTCTGAGATGGACTGGGAGAAGTGTCCTCTTTGTTCTCTTTTTGGAGTTACATAGAAATTATGAAAAAACCTAAAAAGGCAGATCTTCTGAATTCATTATTTGGAGAGGAAGCCTCAGTTTTAGCATGTGAAAAATAACTTTCTGGAATTTTTTTTGTCTCCAGTACCTCTTTGTTGTTGAGCCACAAGTTAATTGCAATTGTCAGCATATTGTATGAAGAAAGCAGCATGACGTTTTTACAGAAATTATTAATAATAGAAAAATAAATTTCTGTCACTGCCTAAATGCCAGAGGGAGTGAGGAAAATTTATTTTCATATGAAGCTATACAATTTGTAAAAGGGTATTAATATCTATTTGCTATAGACTAGGCTAAACTCTCATCTTCTCATTGTCTTTATATCTGATTTTGCTCTATCATGTTCTTACTGAGGTATGCTTATCATTATCTTGGTCTTAAAAAGTATATAAAAGTATTTAGCACATATTCTGGTTTCTCTGGTAGCTGCAAAGCACACAGGTATTCTCATGGTGTTCTCATGTGTGCTGAACTTTTACACAGATAAGCACAAATGAAAAGAAAGCTGTGGAGCTCATGCAGCACAGGGAATCCCTGGAGCTGGAGCAGGCAGGGGACAAACCATGGGCTGCACTGCAGCTCCGTGCCAGGGCCTGCAGCTTCCAGCCAGATAAATCACTGTGCCACACTGACAGCCTGCCCATCAAAACTGAGACTAGGAGATGCTTGTTGGGAAAGCAAAGCCAAATGGCCCACGCAGGCTTTGCTGCACAGCTGCTGCTGCCTCTCCCACCCTGACCTCCCTCTGACACAGCATCTGGTTGATGGTGCTGGTGCCTTCCCATCCTGCTCCCTCACTGCCTCGTTTCTCTGTCTCCCTCATATCCTCATTTCTCTCTGAATCATTAAGATTGAAAAAAAACCTCTAAGATCATGGAGCCCAGTGATTAACCCAGCACCATCATTTCACCCTTAAACCAAGTCCTCAAGTGCCACATCCACAATGTCCATTTGAACACTTCCAGATGTCCTTCTGAACACTTCCAGGGATGGTGATTCCAATGTCTGACCACCCCTCCAGTGAAGACATTTCTCTTAATATCCAATCTAAACCTCCACTGGTGCAACATCCTAAGACCACTTCCTCTTTTCCTATCACTCACTTGGGAGAAGAGAGCAACCTCCACCCACCTACAGCCTCCACTCAAATAGTTACAGAGAACAATAAGGTCCCTTCTGAGCCTCCTCTCTTCAGGCTAAACAGCCCCAGCTCCATCAGCAGCTCCTTGTGGGACTTGTGCTCAGACCCTTCACCAGCTTCACTGCCCTTCTCTGGACTCTCTCCAGCACCTCAATGTGCTCTTCTGAACCTCCAGCACCTCTCCTGAACTGTGGGGCCCAAAACTGCACACAGCATTCGAGGTGTGGCTTCACCAGAGCCAAGCACAGGGGGACATTCATTGCCCTGGTCCTGCTGGTCACACCACTGCTGACAAAAAGAATACATTTTTAGCACTGGGCTGCCTGAAGAGCAGCCCTAGCGCAGCTGTGATGGGGACATGGGACACCAGTATGCATGGTCACACTGGGAGACCCAAGGGAAGGCACCTGCAAAATTCCCAAGCAGCTCCTGCTACCTGACAGGACAAGAGCCTGTTCTTGCCTCTGCTTTCAGCCCTGGGTGCACACACAGACAGCAGCACACAGAGCTCAGGTGGGCAGCTTTTGTTCCTCTAACGCACACCCTGACACCACACAAACATCAGAGCTCCCTCTCCCCACCTGCAGAGCTCCTGCAGGCTCTTCCTAAGCCAAACCCCTTTTTAGCCTCAGCTTTGCTCCTTAAGCAGCAACAGCAAGACACAGACTGCACAGCCAGAAAAACCTTCTGTGAGAATCATTGTGTGGATACGTGTTTGCTGTTCATGGACGTACTGAGCTGGGGTATTTCACACCTCATGGATGAGAAACTGATAGTTTTTAAAAATTTTGTATGGCGCTACAGGACCCAGGGCAAACTTTCTCCCTCCCTTTCTCTGCCATGAACCCCAAAAGAAGATAAGTCAGAAGAGTGACCTTGGATTTGCAACTCTGATGGCAAGAACAACATTTGTCTGAAAATGAAATTAAGAAACTTGTTCTATAAGGGTAAAGAAGGTGCTCCTAAAAAATTCACAACTTAATATGAATTTGGTTGCAAAGCAGGAACTGATAAATCAGCAGGGAATTTTTTATGTAACAGAAAGCTGAATGAATCACAGCACTCACACCTCCACTTTGTGGTTCTGTATATTCTTCTTACTGTAAATCATTGCCACTGAGTTTAATAGGGCTTGCACAATATTGTAAGTATCTCTTAAATAGTATAATTGCTATTTGTGATCCCACTCATGCTTCAGAGCTTTTTTTACTGGAGGGGAATACTTCCATTTTCCAAATGACTCATTTGTAATGAAAATGGAAAAAAGACCCCAACTCCGTCTGCAATGAAATCAAATTAAAGGGGAAGGCATTTTCATGTGATGCCCAGCATATCAGTTGGGCATTTTGAACTGTTTTGAGATTCAACACCATGTTGCTCATGGACACTAGGCCTGTTGATCACAACCAACCCAAAGCTGCTGGAGCAGGAGTGTTCCTAGCCCTTGTTTTTAAAATAAATCCTTATACTGCACCTTTACATTTCCAAAGTAGCTTTTTGGCTCAGGAAAAATGCCATTCTTGGGTAAGTGTGGGGTTCAGTGGAGATGGGCATGGAGGACTCCAGCCCAACACACAGCACATGGGGCTGCACATTCTTCCACCCCCTTTGGCCCCTCTGCTGAGACCACCCGTGCCAGTGCCACCTGAGAGATGAGTTTTGGGAAGCCAGGCTTTCATGAAGCCAGTGAAGCCCGTGGCACTGTCACCAAGGGGCACGAGAGGGGACAGCCACTCCTGCCGCTGCCATCCAGTGTTTCACCAACCCCTCACACCCCTCCCCACAGACTGACTTCTGCACCATTTATTCTGGGGCCGGTGTTTACAGATCAGCCAAAGGTCAGAGTTGTCCCCTCTGGTGCCAGAGGAGCGAGAGAAGAGAAAGAGATACGGACTATTGGTCCACTTACATCATTGGGAATAGTAAGTTCATGGGAACTGGTTGGAGTAGTGGCATCCAGTCCTATTCAGGGGACAGAGGGAAAATGTTACGCCAGCTGTTTGCAAGAAGGGCAAGACACAACAAATGAAATTTTAAAGAAGGAAACATACAGAAAGGAGAGGGGTAAAAAAGAGAAAAGAAAGGAGCAAAGAAAAATAGAGAACTGATAGTGAAACAGAAAAGAAAGCAAAGGATGCAAAACTCAGAGGGCTGGACTAATTTTAAATGAATCTTATTTTAATTAACCTTTAACCCACCAAAGCAACAAATGTCACATGAGATTCCATAGGGTCATCATAAAAAGCTTCTAGAAAATGAAGGGTTTCCTCTAAAAATATGTCTCTGAAGCTTGTTCTAAACACATCAATTGAGAAATTCATGTATGGCTGAAATTGGACCTGTCTACTAGGAATTCCAGAATATGGAAAATTAAAGTGGATGTCAAATGAACAATTAGCTGAACAAAATACATGTTTATGAAAAATAACAAAAAAATTAAAATAAAGACAAAGAAATTAACCTAAGAAATCTGGAAATTATATGTGGGATTAGTTGCTGAAGAAATGTTGGGAAGGGTAATTTTGGAAGGGCAATGGACAAAGTACTCTAAGCTGCATACATTTGTTTGTAAATTGGGTGGACAAAAGGAAAACGCTCAGGAAAAATGGAATTACTGTTCTAACACACAGTAACATTACAGAAATGTACATCTCACAAATATAACCAGGAAAAGATTAAGGAGCAGGATGTTAATGACAAGAATAAGGAAAACACAAAGCTAGGAAAGGCCATTTAGTATTACTTGTATGTATTTTATCAGATACATCACAAAGAAACAAAAGTATGTTTTGATGTCATGAATCTTTCTCTTATTTTCTCTTTTTTGGTGTTTATTGTATTATCTGTAAAGATATGCCAAAAATAGTAATTTCTAACTAGAATTTACAAAAAATAAATATTCTATAAAAAGTGACTGATTTTATTTGTTTATATTCAATTATGAATTGCACAAGCTTATTTCACACTGAGTATCAAATAGTCAAGTTGCGCACAGAATTGTGATGTATGTGATAAAATGTTATTTGCCATACAAAGCATGTACCAGTACAGATGCACTTCTGTGAAGTTTTTAGATGCCAAGCATGTATGTTGTGAAGCACAGTAAAAATGTTCATTTGCAGGCTTAAGTGACTTCTCACTCTTCAATCAAGAATTCAGCCTCAGCTTTATTAAGTAGGGAGCAAATTTTTAAGTCCTTAACTAAATTTCCATTGCATTTTGTAGCTATATCTGCGTTATCTAGTAGGAAGTGAGGCACTTATCCCAGCAGTGATAATTACAGATGCTCTCAAGACATTTGGCTCTACAGGAATTCAACTTTATCATGCCATGGTTTCTTTAATTGGTGTTTCTGTGCCATGAGCACAAACTGTTTTCCCATGTTTGCTTCTCTCTGAGATCCATGTCACCAAAGCATGGATAGAAAAATGCCCAAGCACTTCCCTCAGAACCAACTGGTACATACTGTATGGTCCACAATAACTCTGCAAGGACTGAACAGAAGAAACTCAGGGCTTTTAGCCAAGGGCACAAATGAAGCCATTGTGATTAACAAAAGTAACAAACAAAGCACGTTTTAGTAATGATGAAAGGAACTGTAACAGAGGTACGGGAGGGAAGAAGAGAGATTAATGTGTAAAAACAGAAGGATTGCTGGTCATTGACCACATTTATTATTAAAATGATGTAATGACCACGGGAAACAAAGCTGTTAAGAAGAAGGACATCCCCAGGGGGTCATGGGTACGTACCAGGGAAACCAGGGGTGGTCTGCCCAAGGGGAGTAAAGGGGGGATGCTGCATAGCCAACTGGTGAAGCTTGGTCAACTGCAGGGCAGGATGGGAAATTAGAACTAACCAATCAAATGGAATTATTTCAGAGCAGAGAAACCATCTTACGTGTTCTAAAACTGGATTAATTAAAATTATATTGAAAAATAAAAGGTTTAATAATTCATTCTAATCTACTGTAGAGAAAAAAAACAAACCAAAAACAAACTGGTTATAAATGACATCTCTACTGTTATTACATGTAATGGCTATTGTTAATATTAACTAATTACTGTAGAATTACATATTAAAAGAACTCAAATATATCACATGCAAAAAGACCAAGATAACTGTCATTTGTTCTTGGGCCATTGTACTTTCTAGCAATTATTACACAATAATTAATAACAAGAGATGCAGCTGGACTAACACTTGGCTATAGAACGTGTTGGTCAGGAAAGGTGTCCTTAGGCCGTGTCTTCACTGCTAACTGCAGAAAGCAAATGCTGCCCAGAACAAATAAGAGGGAGAGGAACAAAAAGGGAATAATTTACATGTGCTGGACTCACGTCTGGATGAGGGATGGCATACTGCCCCTGAATCGTGAACGCCTGGAAACAACAAGCACAGTTAAGACACGGGTTAGTCAGGTGGGACAACATTCCTGTTCTCATCACAAAAGCTTCTCATGGTCCCCCCCAGCAAACGCCACCTGTATTGCTTTCCACACTGAGTGAGGTTTAATTGTCTTGTGCTGCTTGATAACCCTTGGCACATTACAGAAAGGCTCTGTCAGGCTGCCCATGTATCCCTTGGCAGCAGAGAACCCCAAGTGCCACCGCCCGAGCTCTGATGCTCCTGGCCCTCAGGAGCTCTCTTTAGTCCAGCTCTGTCTGCCGGGAGCAGAGCTGAGGACATTGGGGGGTCAAGGAGCACAGGGGGTCCCCAGTGACTCCAAGGCACCCAGGGAGATGCTGATGCCAGAGCAGCAAGAGGCACAGTGAGGAGGGGACAGGCCTGCTCAGGGGATGCCCTGCCCTGTCCTCCAGCTCCTGACTGCCACGGGTGTGCAGGGCCACGTGCCAGCCAGCTCTGAGCCACCTCATCTGACAGCCACAGACACCAAGTGCCAGCTGGGGCACCTCATGGAGCTCATGCCCAGGCTGCCGTGCCAGTGGGAAGCTGAGCCTGTGTGCTGATGGCAGCCTGTCCTGCAGGGCCTGGGCACAGGGCCAGCAGGCCACTTTGGAGACAGGAGCATCAGGGAGACCCCCAGCACAGTGCATGGTCTTATCCTCCACAACAAGCCAGATATCCTCTCTCCAAATCCAGCCACTCTGCACCACAAGAGCAGTGCAAGGGATGTAGTTTCTAGCATCATTTCTGGCAGCACCGGCGTGAGGTGTGGGGGTAAAAAAGCACACGAGTGAGGAGGGATATGGTGGCATGCCTGACACCAGTTAGCACAGCCCTTTGTCTCTCCTGCTGGTCCTGTTCAACTCTCTGCAGTGGCCTACAAAAAACTACAGAGAGTTTATGGTTTTCTATTATGTATGAAAGAAATGGCATGTCAAAAAAATTAATGTGCTTGTGCTTAGACAGGCAGGAAAGCAGAAGGACAAATTATAACATAAATATTTGTAGTGGGAGAATTATAAACAGGAACAGAGCTGATTGGCTTAGTTTGCAAAATGCTTATTTGACAAAAGGCCTCTTAGAAAGTAATGAATCCTCTGCAAATGATAAAACAATTCATTTAATGGAGTTCGGATATTAAAACCTTTAATGTCTCAACTGCACGATGCACACTTCTGCAGCAGAATTTCCCTTCTGGAGAAGAAACATTTAATTTAGTTTTTAAATTAGTTATAAAGCCAGGCCAAAATCTGGAAAACATTATGCACGTGAGCAGTTTTCAGGGAGAAGTGTGTGTACCAGGCTCAATGGGAGGTTCATGGGCAAACACGCATGTGCCTCTGTAGGGGATGGGCATCATTGATGGGTTATGTATCACAAGAATAGGTTCCATTCCACAAAAACAAGTGATCCCTGTCATCAGTGGGTCTAAAGGAAACATGTATTTGAGCAAGTGAAACTTGTTTAACTGTTTCACCAAATGAGGACGACCTCAGTGGGGCAGGGCAGGGGGAAGGGGGCTATGCTCTGCGCTCAGCCAAGCACAGCAGCAGCTTCAGGGAGGTTCCAGCTGGGTCTGTGAGCAAACAGTGGGCTTGGAAACCATGCTTTGGTGTCTGAGCCTCTGTGCTGGATCATAAGTGTCTTTTCTGGTCCCAGCAGTACTTCAAACCCGGCTGAGAGAACATCTTTTACACAGCTGCTTTCCAAGCAGTGGTCTGCAAACCAGCAAGAACCCATTACAAAAAAGTCACCAGCAAACCTAAGAGAAGCCACCCCTTCCATCATCGTTCTGCTCCCTCATACTTCCATGTGTACAAAGGAGGAAGCAAACAAACTGGAGAGGTAACAAAAACCAAAACTAATCAACACTCAGTGCTCAGACCAGGTTACTTGGTTGCTTGGTAGTCCATGAAAACCATCAAACCAGAATGGGCACGATGGGCCTTGAATTTTCTGCCCCAGCTAAAAAAAACCAAACAACCAAAACCAAAAAAACAAAAAAAAAAGCCCTAACCAAACAAAAAAACCCCAAACCAAAACTCAAAACCCCCCTCAAAAAACCTGAGAAGGAAAGGTTTTAATTTATTAGGCTGCCAAAAGGTCACTTGATTGATTTAGCTTGAGAAAACAGTCTCTGCTTGTCAGGGAAAACAGCCCTTGTCAGGGGAACCATATGTTTTTGGGGCTGGGGCTTGCTAAGCTCAAGCCTGATTAGAGGCTACTGAGACATCTGTCCTGTACTGTTCCATTGAGCACATGGGCTATGGATCTGCTTCCATCAAAGTCATGGGCAACTTACTGATGTAAGTGACAACAGGGATGACCTGCTCTGCACATCTCCCTCGATTTAGACCATGATACTGGTGAGAGACAGAGAGCAAAACTGCCCCCTCTGAGTACCCATTTAAACACCAATGTAGCACACGGGGTAGAAATTCCCAATTTAACCATTGCACATGCTAAATAACAATAGGGGCAGAGCAGGGCAGTGTTCAGTTTCCTTTTAGTTTTGTTATGCAATGCAGTATCAAAGAAGCACAAGAGAATTAAAAGCAATACTTAGAGTGGAAGAACCCAAACTTCGGAAGAAAACTTGAGATTATATTTTGCTAATGTTACTTATTTTACTAAGTGTTAAACAAACAAAATCCTTTCAAGATAGCCATGATGTGATTTAGAATAACTTCTGATATCTTAGCTGAAAGGTTGTGTGGAACTAACAGTGCTAATAAAATTTAATTTTTGGTATTAATTTCCACTTATGAAACCTGGTTAAAGCGTCTTTCCATAGTGGTGTCCAAACACACCTTAAACATTTTCTTAAAAATTCTGCTAGCCAGAACACAGAGAAATTCAAAGCACACAGAAGGTGTCCGCCTCTTACATTATTTGTCACATCAACAAGGTTGCATTAGAAAAGTGAGAACACTTTTTCAACTGATAAAACTGAAGATGACAAGAGCTATTAGACCTGAAAATAGGATACTTTCGATTATTTGTACGAACTGCTCAGCACCCTCTAGCAAACAGTTTCAATGCTTTTGAGTAATCATATACAGTCTTTGAAGGCAGTGGCAATTACAACACTGATAGAATGAGCTGCTGCATACATATACACACACATATTTCTTAAAGGACAGCACTGCAGTGTAAACTTACATAATTGGAGTAAATTATTCTGAACTTTCAGTCATAGATCAGTTTCTGGCACATTATTTTACATTTCAATTCAGCTTTGGTCACTAAGGAAGCAGATTTCTTATTTTGATGGCAACAAGTAACAGAAGTAGGCTCAAACATGATGAAAGCTACTACATCCAGATTATAAAAATCTGGATATACACCAGAACAAATCATTAGAGAATAGAAAGTAAAAGTCTCATACAAAAAAAAAAATCAGAGACAGTTCATAACAAGGGCTGTCAGAAGCATTTTGGCATATGCTTGGGAGGTGTGTGCTCCTGTGCAGGAGCTTCCTTACACACCAGCAGATTGTGATGGCACAGGCCGTCACACCAACAATGCCAGCAGCACCTTGGGCACTCAGCCCCACCAGGAACTCCATGTCCAAATTGCCCGAGGTGGGACACAGTGTGTGCCACCAGCCCACACCCTGTGACAGGGTGATGACCTTGGATGGGCTGATGGGGTGGGAGGGGGGACCTGCCTGCAGATCTGCTGGTAATTGGGTAATTGCCTAAAAAGAGACCTTGGCATCACCTTGGGGAAAAGATCTGGTTGGGTGGGGGTGCCTTACTGCCAGGGGGGCTTTACATATGTTAATCCTGAGTAGAGAGATGTTTGCCTTCCTCTAGGCTGGGTTTATGGGGTTGATTTTCCTTTGAGTTAGGCAGGGCTTGAAGCATCTCACTTCTCCACCACTGCTTGAAGCTTGGTGCCTACACAAGTCCCCTTGTGACTCTCCCATGGTGTTTTTAGGGTATTTATCAGCTCTGTTCATCATCGGCTCTTCAGTGAAAGCTGCATTCCCCCTGCAATAGATGATGGCACAGCACTCCTGCCATGCCTCCGTCACACACTGTAGACCCATTTCAGATATTATTAACAGACACAGAAGAACAAATTGCACGTGGGTTTTTAAAGGCAGATGAGAACCCTGAATGATACACTTAAGGTGAAGAGGAAATCATCAGAACTTCTTCACATAAAAATGAAACAGGAATGCTGTTCTTGTGTTATCAATCAGGCTGTTCCACACCATGGTTTGGAAGGTCTACACTTGCATGCAAGTAGCTGTAGCCACCTTAGAATTCCATTGCTATTTGATCCCAAGGAACTACAAGCAGTGGAAATTATGTGTGTGTAAATCCTTACTTCAAAATGCATTATTTGGTCCCAAAAAGTATGAAAACTATGAGAGAAAAATTACACTTTTCATTAGCAGAAATGTCACACTGTTTCATCACCTCTGAAAATTGATGAAACTGCTGATACTGCTAGTGAAGCTGCAAGTTAAGGAAAAAAGCCCTCAACCACTACAATAAGCAGGGCTGCCCCACTCAATGAGCTCCTGATTTGGAGACCTCTTGATCTGCAGAAGGACAAACCTTTCTTAATTACAGAAGTCAATGTTAAATCTTGTTAAAATACCAGATTGTCACAATTTTGTGTGAAGTTTGCAATGCAGTGTTCTCCTGTCCTGCAAACTGTAAGCACACACAGTAGACAAAGCACATCAATACTATACCAGGCAAGAAAGAGTAAAAGTTGAAAACTAACAGGCGCTGGCTGAGGCTGGGCCAGGACGGTGTGGTTTCCAGCTGAAGCCAAAATGGTGTCTGCTCTTACCTGGCCACCTGCAAAAATGATAGGTGCAGAGGCAGGTTTGGGACGGTAGGGGATGGTGGCACCTTTGGGTGGGGACTGCAGACAAAAACACAAAGTGGTCAAAATGTAAAACAAAGCAGAGCTTGTATTAAAAAGATGTCTCTTTTTACAAATATTGGTCACCTCAGAGAACAACACATGCAGATAACCCAGCCCACCCTGCCCTCCACCCCACCAGACAAAAATCATGCTAGAGGCCTCCTGTCGGGGCCTCAAGAGAAGAGCTGAGGACCTGAGTGCATGGCCAAAACAGGCAATGTGACACCTGTGGTTTCATTACTGCCACTGTCAGATGAACCTATGAAGCTTCATTGAGCATGTTAAGGCATTTCATGAAACAGGGGCACAATTTTGAAAACGGTCAATGATTTGGAAATTATGGGCATTTTCAGCAAGGGTTTAAAATGCCCAGATTTTTATATACATTTATTTTGTGTATCATTTAATCTAGGGGCTAAAAAATTGCCATCAAAATGAAACTTACTGGTCATATGCAATGACCTGACCTAAAGAAGCAAAAAGTCCTGGCTGGTCAGAATTATTTCTATTTTAAACAAGAGCTGGATGTTTTCTACCCTATTCTACATCAGAATAAAATGTCTTTCTTTCAGAATGACTGCAGCTCTGTTCTGGACTTGGCTGTTGTTCGACAATGTCAAGACAGCCTTTGACTGCTAAACCTTGCTGCAAGAGGCTCTGAAACACCAGGAGACGCAGAGTTTAACAGAGCCTCTGGGAATCCTTGGCACGGGAAGGGCAGGCAGCTCCCCAGGGGAACCCATGGCAATTGACAATTATTAATAATGTGTTTGAGCCTCTCCTGAGTGAGAAGGGACACGCTGGGTGCCCGCTTACCTCCAGCATCACCACGCAGATCTGCTTCACACACTGGATGATGGCGTCGGGAGTGCCGGATATGGTCACTGCGCGCTCTGTCGAGTTGGGCAGCATGTCCCCTGCCACCTGCACCTGGGCTCCTGTGGACTTCAGCAGAGACAGAGCAAAGACACTGTCACTGCCATGCAGGCAACGGCACCTCTGCAGTCTTTCACTGAGACAATGGAGGGGGTACACCCCTAAACTTTTTTTTTTGTTTTTTTTTTTTTTTGTCTTTGCTGGATGTGGTAAAGCATGTTTGGAAACTCCTACCCTGGACATGGATTTGGCTGTTCAAGCCAGTTTGCCAGCATTACCATCCCAGGGAGCTTAGTCCCCACTAGCTGTTAGGGAATCAAACTGTGACCTGAATGTTAGGAGAAGCATTTTAACCCTCTCAAAGGCTGACAAAAAAGTGAAATGCTGACTAAAAAGTGAAAAATTTTTTTTTTTTTTTTTTTTTTTGTCTTTGCTGGATGTGGTAAAGCATGTTTGGAAACTCCTACCCTGGACATGGATTTGGCTGTTCAAGCCAGTTTGCCAGCACTACCATCCCAGGGAGCTTAGTCCCCACTAACTGTTAGGGAATCAAACTGACCTGAATGTTAGGAGAAGCATTTTAACCCTCTCAAAGGCTGACAAAAAAGTGAAATGCTGACTAAAAAGTGAAAATGGTGAAAAGTACTCTTCAATAATAAAGAAATAATAAGAAAAAAATCCCAATAATTGAAGAAGCTTGGCTAATCAAATGAATCACTCTTTAAACTACTGATAAATGGCTCTTTAATCTACTGATGGCTGACTTGTGTCTCTTGTTGAAATTTGAGGCTTCCTTATGCTACATGGTACAGAAGCACTTCTAAATCTTAATTAGTGTTGATTAAATATATGCATATCATCAACTTTTAGCTCATTAATGAACCCAAGAAAGTAATGAGCCACTTTTGGGTTTTTTTTTTCACTGTTTTTTAAATTTGATCTTGGCACTAGTGTGTCTTAGTTACAAAAAAAACAAACAAACCAAAAACAAAAGAAAAAGAAAAGAAAGAAGAAAATACAGGAGGCCCAAACAACCCTTGACATTACTACACAAACACAGAAGACCTTTTCCGCCAACAGAGAAAAACCCAGGCATTTGACGTTGACTAAGCTCTTTAACATATTGCACAAAAGATCTCTTCCTGACTGTTACTGCAATGCAATATTTGAGCTTTAAAAAACAAGTATTTTCAGTAACCATTGACTTTGCGTCAGTCAGCAAGGAGTTAATTTGTTTTCCTGTTAGTTATAAACAACAAGTTTTATTCTTCTTTCCCAAGACTGATTAATGTACTGATTTCATCTTCTGTTCACTAGTGCTGTTTAAAGCCAAAGTATCAATTCCATGCCCTATAACAGACTTTGGAATTTCACCGTAATTTGATCAATCCCTCATGCTTTTACTTTCTTTTTTTTTCATAATCTTATCTCAAAAATAGTACTGCAACCCTACATGCTGTTCCTGGGTGCATGACTGAACACAAAAGACCCCTCCTTTGGCAACTGCTCAGTGTGTTGTGTGATGATGAAATTAGGCCACATTTTGGGCTGGATGCTCCTTGATTTCCCCCTCTTTCCTGATATTTGCTTTTTAATGTACATTCCTGGGTATCTGTACAGCCAGCACAAAAGACTGCCAAGTACCAGAGTCATTTATGCATTTAGTCCCAGTGCTAATCTTGTTTATTCTTTGACTTTGGTCATTCATCAGTGGCAAGAAACAAGTAATATTTTGTCCATTACCCTTATGCTTAGGAAGATGTGCAGTGTGACTTCTCGCTACATTAGCCTTATCAAAACACCTATTTGGCCAAACACTATCCTTTTACCTCCTTGTACCAGACTATGGGCAATTGCTTCTGAAACTGTGCTCACCAGGATAATCACTTCAGTCACTTCATTTAACCAACAGACCAATCTCACCTTTAAAAACCTGGGCACATTTCTACAGTGCTCTGAGTGAAGTTACCAATATTTAATATAAAATCCGAAGTATGGATAGCTGTAAAACCTAGAACTAAGCAATCACTAGCACACAGTTCACACTCATGCCTGCTTCTATTTTAACATAACTAAGAAATCAACTTAAAAGCTCCATAAAACCTACTGTCTTGGATCCACATTTCAGATTAAAAAAAACAGAGTTTCAGCTTTGTAGAGCCTGTCAAAAGCCTTTTGTATTGACACAGGTAAATTAAAAAAATGGATCAACATGTTATCTTAGTATTCAACACTTTATCCCATGTTGGAACGAATTCAGATTTAGAAGGAATATTGTCACTTCCTCCAGAATAACAATCAATTTTTCTGAAATATTTATTAATATTTTCTCTATATAACTGAGCATGTACCTGATTTTCTTGTATGAGTGATTACAAACATCAGATCCTTGGCTTGGCATGTGCTATATTGTTAACAGTACTCCTTGCATTTTTTGTTTAGACAAAAAAGTGTCTCCTAGCACACCAAATGAGTACCTCTAGCTAAAGTTTAAACTAAAAATAAATTCTGTGTTTGGAATGCATCAGATCAGGTCACTTGTGGCCCAGTGACATTAAGGAGAAACAGAGAAGGAACATGAAAATCATAATTTACTAGAAAGTAGATCTACTAGCTTGGAATCCCCAGGGCTGCTTGGGCTTTTCTCTGACTGTAAGGGTGGTAGTTAATTTGGAAATGTCTGCAAGTCTGCCCCCTGAGTATGGCTGGGCAGGGGTCTGTGCTGGAAAAGAAACTTGAAGAGCCATTTGTCACTGTTGCTTTGCTTAACTGTGCATGAAAGACTGTATACATTGTAAAGCTGTTTCTCTATTTCACATGTGGTCTCTATTGTCAAGAAAACTACAAGTGCAGCAGTACTGGACACCCTGCTTCTCTCAGACCAAGGCTTTTCCAGGTTTTTCAGTCAACCCACACTTATGTTGGTGTGATCAGTGAAGTGCAGTGGGTGATGCTGGCAGGGCATACTGCAGTAGGATGCTGAGCTAGCCAGTGTCCCCAGCACATCCCAAGACTTACCTCCCTGATTTCTTTGATTTTGGAACCTCCTTTTCCTATGAGGGACCCACACTGACTTGCTGGGACAACGAGCCGCAGCGTTACAGGCGGTTTGCTTGTCACCGAGCTGTTTGTCATCGAAGCGTTGATGTCCTGTAATCACAGTGTCAGCGAGCATTAGCGGGGATTTGTCACTCCTGGGGAGCACTGAAGGGCTCAGAGCAAATGCCCAGACTGTCTGAGGAGAGCAGGGGACTGTGCAACCAGCTGTGGCTGGCTTTGGTGGTAAGGAAAGCCCACCACAGCTCTGCCAGTGATCCACTGTGAGCATGAAGCCACTTGTGCCAGAGGAACCCTTTGGATGTCTGGCACTGCAAGATCCGTGCTGTGGGACCAGAGGGCAGGACTAGGAGGTGGAGGAGGTGGTGTCTGCCATTAAACCCAAAACAGGTGAAAAAGGCAAAGAGGCTTTTGGATTCACAGGCTTCCAAAACCTGTTTTGATCTGTTTTGGTCTCTTTTTCACCACCTCAGTTAGAAAATTTATAATGTGTAATATGTCTCTACATTTCATGTCTCTTTCCAGATTGGATTCAAAGGAAAATGGTTAAAAAAAGGAATGACAAAGAGCATGTGAGTAATCTGAAGCAGAGAAAATCAGATGGTTTTGGTAAGTCTTCAGCCGTCCTCTAGATTTAATTTCTCTTTTTTAGCAGGTCCATAAATATTTGTAGCACTTCACAACTTCTAAAATATTTTCCATCATGGTTATGTAACCAAAGTACAAAAAGCTCAGCAGAACAGTAATTGCCTGTGTCCAGATAATGAAACACATCCATGTATCCCACTGTCCAATGAGACTACATTAGACACTCCCATAAGCACTTCAACTTGTTGCAAGGTTTAAATTGTTTTAAATATATTTTGTTTGTTCAAAATCTTCTAGGCAAGACAAAACAATCTCTCTAAAGACTTCATCACAGAGGAAAAGATAAAGCTTATCTTTCCACTGATCAGTGGGATGCTTTAAGGTAACTTAGGATGAAAAATAAAAAGCCACAAGCTGCACTGCAGCTGTCCAACAACTCAGGAGAATCTCAGAGAGTTTTGGTAACACTAGCTGTGAACTGAGAAGACTCATCCGTGAGGTGGCATGACACAGCTATTATACTCTCCATAGGAATGTTACCAAAGATTATGACAGGAAGGAGAAAACATGCATTTCCTATTAAGTCCATTAGACAGAACTGATGTGATTTCCTATGCTTATAAAGGCTATCACTTTAACAAAAAACCAAGAACAATACCAAAAAAACCAACCAACCCACCAACCAACAAACCAACCAACCAACCAGAAGTGCCTATATTGTGCAATCAAGACCCCAAATTATAAAAAAACAATCACGATTTCCTATGCTTATAAAGACTATCACTTTAACAAAAAACCAAGAACAATACCAAAAAAACCAACCAACCCACCAACCAACAAACCAACCAACCAAAAGTGCCTATATTGTGCAATCAAGACCGCAAATTATAAAAAAACAATCAACAACAAAACTACTCAGCACTTCAAGCAACTCTGCACATCTCACTGGACCAGTGTGGGAGCCTGGTGACACCAGCACTGATTCCTATGGTATGTCCCCTGTTTTGATGGCAGCATTCTTCCATCCAAGAAAAGGCTTGGTATGACCTTAATTAGCTCAAAAGCTAAGAAAATAAAATCTTGAATGGAATAAGGCATTGCTGCATGTGACAAGACAGCTACCAAATCATTCCTCTGCCAGCCAGTAGTAACTCATATTCTGTTCAGTGGCTGTGTCAGTGAGAGACTGCAATCCAAAATAAAGCCAGAGGGATAACATAATTTTGCAGTACCCATGTATCTGAGATAAAGTTATGCTGATTTTTCAGCTGGAAGATGACATTTCATTGTATCATGTTTGTGTCAGATAGAGGCACATGTAGATGAATAATCCTCTTCAGCCACACAGCACAAAACTTAATCATGTCTCCTACTTCCATGTCATATGTAGCCTGGCCTCAAAGCCTTCACTGAAATTTCTGCCTTCAAAAGCACTTTTCAGGAACTGGAAGCCACTGTTCTCTTTATTTTGTCCTCACTATTTAAGAAGAGCAAAATCTAAACATGGGGACTCAGCAGCTTGGAGTGCATACAGGAATTATTCCAGCTTAAAAACATGACAAAGGAGAAATAAGCAGAAAAAAATCCCCCTCAGAATTGCAGGTTTCCAAGGAGGGATGGCTCAAGACTTTCTCACAGAAGAGTCATCTTTCAAACTGGGAGATTCCTATTTATTTAACCTCTAACTTTTTGTGACATTGCAGCCATTTCTTCAGGGCTCTGGCAGACACTACAGCTGGACCTTGCGTGGCTTTCTCCCTGCTTGGTGGGCTGCACCTCAGCCAAGACAGGCTAACTGGGAGCCTGGAAGTGCTGAAGAGCCAGCAGAAGCTCTTGGCATCCTGGGGTCATAGCAGATAAGGTTTCCCAAGACAAACTAACCTGGCAGCTCAGAATTCTACCAAGCCTCCAAGGAAAAAAAAATATACCAAAATTCTTCTTTTCTGGTTTCAAAGGAAATGTTAAACTGTCCAGTTTCCACAGCAAGGAGGATTCTGTGAGGTGGCTCCTCTCTTGGAAATGACCACTAAAGGACTGATCACAGTTGTACTGGCAAGAATTTATGTTTGTCAGAAAGGTATCACTGTAACTGCTTTTATCATCTTCCTTTTCTCTTCTTCTTCCTAGAGCCAAAGAAGTGCTTCATAGATGTTTACAGAAGAACAAGGATTCCAAAATTCCTTTTCTTATTCATCTGGAGATGGTCTTACTACTGAGCTGTGCCTGCTGGTTATTTCTGTGCTTAAGTACCACGTGCTTTCAGAGGATTATGCAGACTTACAAGCAAAGCTAGAGCTGCCCCATTGAAGTTACAGGGTCGCCAGTGAAGTTACAGCTGCATATCTTGGGTCTCAGCCTCCAGTCCAAAAATGACTCCACTAAAATGTCCCTCTTGTAGTTCCAGGGGTCTGCCTGGGTTAGTGTCATTTTCTAACAACTCTCTTCGTTCCCTGCAGTGAACACTTTAGGTATTCATGTCAATACCTACTTAGCTCATAAATTCATCATAAGACTGCTAGAAAAACAACTTCCATTAGGAAGGTTGTCAAAGCAGAGTAATATAAGGCTACAGAACAACCACAAGACAAACCCAACCTTTCTCATTTTTCTATCTCTCTGACAAATTTTGAAACTTTTACTAACATTAGCAAAGCATTCCAGGACTTCCTACACCTGCTTATCTCTAGGTATACAGCTGTACGGTGGAAATTAAGGGTCCAAGGTCTTCATGTGGGCATGCATGACAAATAACAAAACAATCCCTCAAAGCAGCAGTCTCACACATACATCTTTTTTCTTCTGTTTCAGCATAGCTGCATTAACCAGAGCTGGACTGAATCTTTTAAATGGCTGAAGAAATCTCCAAAAAAAAAAAAAGATATGAAAAATAGCACTTGGTAGCTAGCTAATTTGTAATTTTTGAAGCAGCACTTTATTTTTCCTCCAGAGTGTTACAGTTGCCTCATTTTATTGGCAGAAAGATTTATAGGAAACCTAACTGATTTTATTTATATATATATATATATAATGTATTATATATACAATATGTATGATATATACGAAGCAGCACTTTATTTTTCCTCCAGAGTGTTACAGTTGCCTCATTTTATTGGCAGAAAGATTTATAGGAAACCTAACTGATTTTATATATATATATATGTTTCTTTACTGCTGTTCTTTTAAATATACCACAAACCAATTATGTTAAAACTAAATACAGATTTAAGATTTATTTCAGAGCAGTACTTGATCTGCAGAGATTGCCAATACTCCTTTGCTAATGCTCATATGAAGAGCCCAGGCTACCTTCTAAAACCTGCAAGTGCAAATAAGTGCAAAATCCAGCCAGATGCCTGAATTTCAGCTTTCTTTGCCTATTGCTACCTACAGCACTTTCAAAGACTATGTTGCACTGGGTGGTGGGCTGGGGATCTGATGCCGTGCAGTGTTTGATGTTTGTATGAAAAATTCTGCATTATTTCCACTGGGTACTCATTTTGGTGGGAACTGGCAGGGATTATCTGTGCTAATGATTCTCTCAGAATTTTACAGGAGGAACGTTTTTCCTGTAGAGGGCAGAGACACTACTCTCTCCAGGATTCTCTGGACTGGGGGGTATGGCACTGTGCACCAAGCTACCTCAAACTAGAAGAAACAGGGATTGGTCCATGATGGGCAGGAGATGAAGAGGAGAAAGAGATGACAATAGGAGGCTTTGAAATTGGGTTAGATAGAATTACCTCTGGTTCTGCAGGCTTAAACCTCAAAATCATTATTATTTCATTAACAATTGGCATAAACTTCCCCAAGCATTCTTATAAAATGTGCCATGCCACAAAACAGAGACATTTTATCAACATACTGAAAGTCTGGAATATCATGCAGGAAGATATGAAAACCCATGAAGGACTGAAGAAATATAAATAACACCTGCAGTATATAAAAAAAAGGTCATTTGTCTGGAGCCTTACAGGAATGTTTGCCAAGACTGAAGAGGTGGAAACACCTGAGCAGGAGCTGGGGACACTCATCAGGCAAAGCATAGGTGTGAACAAAGCATTAAACTAGTAGGAGGTGAGGCATTTTCAGCAGTGGCAAGGATATGACAGCGTGATAAGCAGGACAGGGGACTGTTAATGCTGTTAAATAAGCCTTTGTGGAACTTCATTTGCAACCTGTCCACAATTAACACAGACATTCAAGATAAAATGTAACTGGAAAAAGGTGGAAAGGGACTACTAGAGTCATGAGAGGGGCGGGGAATGCATCCTCTGAAAGACTGTGCTTGGATCACTCTCTCTGGCAAAAGCAAAGGTATGTGGGGATAAAATCAGTTTCTAAATATATATCTAGAAAGGAAATCCTCAGGGATGGAAAGGCAAGAATTATCGAAACAAATGGCCAGTGCTGGCATAGAAACAAAGCTGCATGAACTGTTCATGAATAAACTCAGGTGAGGAGCGAAAAGGTGTCTAATCATCAGAGACCTGAAGTTGTGGACCCAGTATCAGCAAACAGAAAAAAATCTAACTAGCTCTTGATCATGCTGTGAAGTTTCAAGTCCAAGCCATACAGTTGATTCTAGAAGACAACTGCATCTGGTGACTTATGAGCTCTCCTCTAATCATGTTGCTCTAAATTTGAACATTTGCCATGTGTAAATAAAGGCACATGTTGACAATTCTCATCAATTCCTCCATCTCCCTGTGCTGTGGGGAGATGTGGAGACTAACCTTGCTGGGTTGGAGAAATAAGAGCTCTTAAGAAAGGGATTAACATCCCTCTAATTTAATCCATTCTGGAAAGACCCTGCCCTTCACTTCAGCTGCAGGTGATTCAGTCTGCCTGTCTGCAAGCTCCTCCATTAGGATTTTCAAAAGTAGAGGGAGTTAAATCCTCTCCAGAGTGACCAGGGTTCATGTTCTGTACTCTGCTGCCTTATCATTAAAATGGTGACTCTATCTAAGTGTAGGTGGTCCACGAAACTGAAGGAAATCTCATCAATTTAGATGTATATCTGCACAGAATACTTCGTCTACACTGAACTCCTGCCTTACTTACTCTGACTGCCTTTAATTTGTTTTAAAAGACAAGTCTTAAATGTGGTAACTGGTAATCATATAGCTTGTTTCTAAAATAAAAAAAATTCTAGTTAAATGAATTATATATTCATTTTGACATATATAACATTTACATCAATACCAACTGGATTCATACAGAAATGGAGTTAAAAGTTAGGCAATTATTCTTTTCAAATCAAACCCACAATGGGAATAGAATATTTCCAAGACATTTTTCCTACCATTAACACACATTACTAGAAGCAATTGCTTTTCCCTGAAGCCTCCAAAAAGCAAAAGAAATGATCAAACATCTTCTAAATTGACCCATTATTTTTCTTCAGCATTGCTGCCAAAAGCATTTATAAAAATATAACAATTTTCATTGCTATTAAATAGAACATTAAACAAATCCTATTTAACATTAAAGCAAACATGAGAAAATTCAAACAGTGTTTGTATTTCAACTTGAAGAGAGAAAAAAATATTTGCTTACCTCTTCAAATTTTAGTGCAATCATAGAAAAAGCTTTAAAAATTGCATCTGTTGGGCCTGTTATTGTCACAATTCTCTCTGGACAAGTGCCTTCTGAAATATTGATTCGAGCACCACTCTGTCAAAAGGAACAAATATTTTTCAAAGTTATACTTCCCAGGGAGCAAACAAAGTAGGATTAGGAATATAGTTTGGGAAGGAATACCTTGCGGCATCTAATTCCCTCCCCTACAACTGCAGCCCCAACATCATATAATTTCAGCATAAACTGATCACATTCCAAAAATTCATGTAACTGCAGGAAGCCGGATTCTGTCTGGGTAAATACTTCTGCAGCCTTCTTTGCAGCATGCAAATAGCACCTCTGTAACTCAAAGTTGCAAATAATTGCATAATCAAGTCTTTTTCCTTCCTGCTTGCAGGATTAACCTTAAGTAGGACTGGAGCTGCAGGATTTAAGAGACGGTGGTTGTCTCTAGGGAGCACCAGCATTTCCCAGGAGCGATGCACCTCTCTGGTTTGGAGGCCCAAAGGGGGGGCTTGGCTTCTCTGCCTCTCTACTGGGGCCTTGCTTTGCACTGTGGAGAAGGCTCCTTGTACATGTTTCTCATGTGAAGGCAGCCAGCCAGCATGCACTGAGCATCCCTTTAAAGGACTAGTGGTAGGACAGGACACACCAACAGTACTCTGTCCATAGGGCAAGGAGCCTGCTGGATGGAGGTAGAAAACCAGAAGTGTCTTAGAGAAGCCATGCTGCTCTCAAGTATACTTAGTCCTCTTTATGTCACCATGGCAGTGCAGAGAAAATGTCTCAACCAGGAGGTTTTATTTATTAAGGAAGTTATATATTTTAAAATACATATTTAAGATGCTCTTTAATATAGGTAATGATCAAATCCAGTTCAGGTAAGAGCCACCCTATGTGTGCTCTGAGATTTCAGTCCTGGATATGTGTTAATGCAGCCTAACAAGGCTCTGGAACCTCAACTCACCCACAGGCACTGACCTTCTTGGGGATCAGGGCCTGAAGCACATGTGAGACAAGCTGGGTCAGTCTGGCCCTTTGCTTGCAGGGTCACCACACAGCTGCTGATGTGCTGTGTCCTAGCCCTTAAGCACCCCATGCTGCTGCTCTACTGCAAGAGGCTGTGCTTCCTCATATCACAGCACCCCCACACAACATGGAAAAACCAAGGCTCAACACTACTGATAGAAAAATTTTCCTGCCAGAGACCTGGGCACAGAACTGAGGTTTCTGTATTTTTCTTTAGGCCTGAAGTTGTCTCTGACATTTTCTCAATGACAGCATTGTCTCTGACATTTCCTCAAAGACAGAGCTACATTTCACACCATAAAGATGGCATGCACCCTGCCACATCTGCCAGGGAAGTCAAAATAAAATTGCATTTTCCTTTTAAAGAAGTACTGAAAAAGGTAGTAATTTAAAGAGTGACTAAGTTATCATCATGTTTAGATACAGCCTCTTAGTCTTGTGCTGATGCAAAGATACATACAATTCTATTATAAAAAAAAATCAAGAAAATGAAGTGTCTTCTGACTACATATACATGACAGCAGGGGTTCAGGATTGGAAGAAGAACATTTGATATTTATCTTGAAAGACAGACCAAGTATCATAGGTATTCTCTAAGATGTTTTACTCAGAAGTCAGGAGCACTCTCCAATGATGGCTTCCCTTCTGTGCACACAATTTATGTACAAAGATATCTGCTCATGATCATAATTAACAATTACATTAAAACGTGTTGAATTATGTTTACCTAGTACACTGGAACATTTTTTCTTCTTATTTTTTTTTTAAGTCTTAGAAAACGTGTGAAAATATGGGTGAAAACATGTCATCAAAAAAGGAGCTCAGGACTCAGTCAGCCTGACAATGAAATCCCTATTGTGTATATTTAAAGATGGATGTCTGCAATTTTCTTTACTAAAATACTTTGACATTTCCCTGCCACAGACCTTCTATCAGAGTAGAAAACAACGAAGCAGCTGACACAGTAATGTACTGCAGCTTTACTAGAGCCAAACTGACTCTCCTTGAGGCATCCTCTATGCACTGCACTCCTAAAGTTTAAAACAGTAGGATTTATCTTTTGACTTATACTTTTAGCAGTTGCTTCAAAGCAGAAAAATTACATGGATCTCCAGGTAGGATGTGCTGCCTTGCAGGACCAGTGTGGGTCTGTAGCCTCCACCTGAGCACACTCCTCTGAAGACAGCACAGCTTGTTCTGTGGCACAGAAAGAAGCCCGCAGACACTGGGGAGGCTGCGATTTATGCAGTGCCCTGTTTTAATCCTATTTGTCTTCAGCCTTTTCAAAGGATGTGAATGGCAGGTGTGCAGGTCTACCCTGCCCACATCCTACTCACAGCTGCAAAATGAGGAAAAGCAAGGCTTTGCCAAGACCTGGCAGAGAGATGCTCTGGCCTACACACATCTGGCTCCAGCTCTGCTGAAGCTTGTGTCTACCCTCAAACTTGACGTGCATCAGTCTAACGCTTGGTTTCAGATTTTTGGAAACTCTACCAGGAGCCCAAGCCATGTGCAGGACTGATGTTGATATGCTAATGAAAGATACAGTGGGTCTGATGCACAGAGCCATGCTGTGAGCTGTTCCTGAGATAAGGCGGCAGCAGGCACATCGCTAGGGGAATGAAGGGCTCCAGACTGCTGCAGCGATAAGGAGGTTACATTAACAACAATGTTTAATTTAGGCCAGCACTATACCCCACTGCTCGCAAAGAACGGGGATGTTAAACGATCGGCCCACTTGATGGCAGCATCGGTCTGCACATGCTGAACTCAGTTCTCCGAGCCGGAAAGGAAGGCAAGTGAAGACATCAAAGCTTGTCTTACCTCCTCCCTCATCTTCTTCACTGTCTCACCTTTCTGTTAAAGAAGCATAAAAAACCCCGTTAGCCCGGGCTAAGAAAAGAGAAATGATATACAATAGTTTGACATGAATATAAAGTTATTTTCTGACCTTTCCGATAATGCTTCCAACCTCCTGCAACAGAAAAAAAGAGACACCATGAATGATACGATTTGTTACAGAAGAGCATTTGTGCTGTTCCTAAGCTATTTCACTATCATTTATTTCAAACCTTCAGTGTGAAGCATAGCTCCCTTCCATTGTTGCTGTATACAAATATGCCATGTTAGATACAAAGGGATGGACTAAAAACGTAGCTTTGCAGCCAACTGATCATGCAAGAAAAACACTTTTAACAGAAACCGATCTCGTGGTTACAGATCAATCCCGCTACTTTAAACACACACAAACCCCTGTCAGGGAATGAAAAGTTAAGAAATAACAGAACTGCACAATCTACTGGAGAAAATGAGGTGTAATACAAGCATCAAAATAATTGCTGGTTTCTCCAGCAGGGGCAGGCATTTACCCTCCTTACGCCTTGTAACAGTGAGAGCTGAATTTCCACGCTACCAAGTGTTATTGTGTAAACACCTGGTGGCCTGTCTTAATCTCCCTATTAAGCACTTAGAGAACACTAATTACTAATCACTTTTTAGGGACTTGGGAATTGCTACTGGACTCCCACAATCTTCCACCAAAGGAAAGAAAATACTGAGAAGTGTGGCCGTGGACATACAGTAGGGGAACAATGTGGCAGTTCTGGCAACATCCCAAAGGTGAAAGTCTTGGTGGATAAAACCAACAGGTAGCAAAAATGAAACTATTAACACTAAAATGAATAGTCTGGACATGTTACACAAATCATGCAGCTGTGACATCAGACTGGAAATCATGTGATGGAGAGACCAGCTAAAGGAAAATAAACTCCTCTTCTATACTAAGATTGTGAAATCCACTTCTACCGTTAAAGACTGCATCAGCTGGTTGAGCTGTCTCAGATGTATGATACACCACTTCCCTCCAGCCAGTCCATACACTTCAGTGTGATCCATCCTGGAACACAGTCCAAAGTGTAGAATTTTTGAAATTTTTGTCCTCTAACACTCTATCCAGTGATAGACTCGTGATAAAGTGGTAGTGACTTCACTCTGCAGGAAAGAACTACCTGCAGTGACCTTGAGTTATTTTTGCCAGTTGTTTATAAGCTCATAACATGAAGCTGTTTGTGCTTGCAATTCCTCACATCCTGCTCACAAGACATGAAGACTTTTCAGTGAGATGAAGTTACCTATTTCAATGAACTCTGGCATACTGTTCCTTTATGCTCTCTGCAAGTCTGCACACAACACCTGACTGAAGGGAACAGTCAATACACTGCTGGACAGGCTGGAAAACTGGGCTGGGAGAAAGCTCAGGGAGTAGAACGAAGTCAGATGAAAAGCTCTGTCTGTGATGTCTGTGATGGAAAAAGCCCATGCAGCAGGACAAGCTGGACAAAAACTTGCTACCTTAAAACTGACTTTGCAGAAAAAGTCCCGAGGGTCCTATATCAGAACTTCAACATAAATAAATGAGTACATCAGCAGTGCACCCCTGATCAAGCAAAGGCTGGACTGTATTAGCAGGAGCGTAGGCAGCAGGCTAGGGCAAATGGCTCTTTGTCATTCTGTTTATGAGAGCATGCCTGGAGGACTGTGGCCTCTTTTGGGCTCCTAGTACAAGACAAAGACACATTCAGGTGAATTCAATGCAGGGCCACCAAACTGGTCAGGGGACCAGAGCACAGGACACATGAGCAGAGGCTGAGAGAACTATTATTTGTTCTTAAGAAGAAAAGACTTGACAGGGAAGTCTTACTGCAATGTACAATAAGGAAAACAAGCTACAATATCAAATTCCTACTCAAAGTGTGGAAAAAAAATTACCATGGGGATGGCTGGACATTGAAAGAGGCACCCAGAGAATCATCATCCTTAAAGGTGTCAGAACCCAGCCTGGGCAAGGCCCTGTGTAATCTGATCCAATGCAATCTGCCTCAGGAGGTCAGACTGGAGGCTTTGTGGGTCCCTTCCAACCCTCACTGGTCTGTGATTCTTCAGGCACAGCCTTATTCCCACTGAAGTCAATGCCTTAATAGCCACAAAGTTCCTAAATCCTTGAGGCCCCTTCTCAGGCTTATTTTCAAACTGTGCTTTTCCTGTTTGCCATTTTCCTTTCTCTTACAATTGCTCTTTTAAGATGTACAAGATTCTGCACTCTTGTACACACTGAGCTGAGAACAGATATTGTCCAGACAGGAGCTACAAATCTTCCAGGGCTATCTGCTTTACAAATCTACAGTTCTGCTGGCCAGTGTAGAGTAGACCTTTACACTTCACACAGTTGTGTGAGTTTTTTTGGCAAAGTTGCTTGTGTCCATTTGGGACTATGAGATCTGCACCTCTGTACATACAATGCAGAGAATGGGCATGAAAGGGCTCACTGCAGTTTTCTGTCTTGTAACTAAATTATTGTAATATTCTCTTAATATGTGGGTTTAGGACACGCCTCTTCTGTGGCTGAGACAGCCAAACCAGCATGCTGTGTAGGTTCTCAAGTGAAATGCAGCTTTTTTGTTAGCAGTGACACAAATCTGGGACACCCATTCCCCCAGATTTTTAAGATCTTACTGTTTTTTACATTATCATTGTAACTGTCAATCTCACAGTGATTGCTGAACGTGAAATACAGGGAGCAAGGCTCTCAGCGATGACAAGGCTTGGGAATCCCCCATGTCCAGTAGTTCCTATCTGACCACTTAGCACATCTGGCAATTTTATTTTAAAAACTTCTTCCATTCTTCTCAGTTCCAGCTTTCAGAAATAATTATTTTCATAAAACAAATTCTTAGGAGGTAGAAGGACCTTTTGCTAGGCGTGAGAGCGTTCTGTGTCAGTTGCTATGGGCAAGCAACTATATTTCAATCCATGGTATAACTTCAGGTTTTGTATACCTGCAGTTTCATTAGAATATGTAGGCCTAGTCTTGAACCTCCAAGGCTCTGTCAGTATAAACTTAATACAAAATCTGTCCCAATCCATTTGATCATCTTGGGTCTCAATGAGAGATGTTGTTCTTTCAGAAATGAATGGATGGGTCATGAGTGATAAATGCAAAAATATTTTCCTTAGACATAGGAGAACATACTTTGCTTTATGAACAGAAGTACTGTTTGTAGCATTGGTAAAAAAAGCTGGTCCATTTCCAATGCGGAAATTAGGAGTATTTAAACAAGCAAAGGAGAGCACAGAATAAAAAGATTCTCAAGCTGATTGTTTCACTGAATTCTCTGTGAGTTTTGCTTTGGATTTCAGTGGGGACAGGAATACTACATGACCGATCATCACCTTGTTAGTTATTAATGAAGAGCACAAGCTATCAAAGTAATGAGTGGAAGAACTGTGAATACAACTGAGAAAAAAATATTTCAGTAAGACTGCTGACCAGTTCCTTGGAACATGCCAACAAATGTCACCGTAATCACATGGCGTACCTCAAATCTCCCCCTCATCAAAGGGTAACTTTAGAGCTTATTCTATAAGCCAGTTTCAAAACATCCAAGCCAATGCTACCTCTCCCTCTACTCTAGAAGATGGGATTCTGCTTGGCCATGTGAGGTAAGGTCACAGGGGCAGAGAGAAGCACTAACTTCACATGGACATTTCAGAATTTTGTTTTGCTTTATACAAATTACTGGAGAGAAAAAAAACCCCAGTGATTTTAAATAGGTCACTTCAGACTTTACTGGGGCCTTAGCTTTTTCTAGGAAAGCCCCAAGAAATACTGGTGACAACAGATCATGTCTTTAATTATGATGAGAAACCTATTTCAGCCACAGATTAAATCAAAAGACTCTTTTCACCTCATTCTTCAAACTACCAAAGCTACTTCACCAAACCTTTAATGTTTCTTTATATAGTGCAGTATTTGTTTCATACAGTTTCTCATATCACCATGAAATAAGTTTGCTGCTAAATGAGATACCTAACATAATTTTTATGACACTCAAGTTTTAGCATTATTTCTAACCAAGGTTACTTGGCTTTATCTTCTTTAGAAAATGTTTCTAGATCTGCCAGACATCAAATGTGCTATAGTTAAGTGCATAAGATGTCTGTCACCTACATTGGTTCATTATAAGTTTGTAGTTCACTTTAAGTCAGGCAAGCAACCCTCACTGCCGTCCAGGGAGAGACAGTGGAGGATATTTTGTTCCTAAAGAAGGAGGAAATAAGTGTACTCCCAAGGGTTTTTGCCTTTTCCCATCTGCAGCAGAAGCAGCCTAAACTGACAGTAACATATGCAAAGTTTGGTGAGAGGAGCCTACAGCTGATGTCAAGTTCAGCCTCAGTGCAGGTCAGACAAGTGTTTGATCTAGCTGCATTAGCAAATAATTGCCTATTACAACAGACTAACAATTCCTGAACTATTTGTTGTTTTCCAGTGCTCAGGAATATAAACTAGCAGTAACTACTGATCATCAATTTCAGACTGATTTATTGACTAACCATCCACATGTAAATATAGTAGAAAAAGTCACATGATAACAATTACTGAGTTTCGCATAGTCACACTTGAACAGCAGATCAAAAAGAAGTGCACAAAAAGAAGTTATAAAGGGGGGAATTAAAACTCAGTGGGAGAAAGACGGGTCCAAGCCAACCCATCTTGCAGACTGATGCCAGAGCTAGAAGTACTACCCAGGCTCCTTGGCCTCAACATGTAAAACATCCACTCTCCAGAAGCAGCTGTGCCACTGCACCCATACTGGATGACTCCAAAATGCTGCATATGTCTGCCTACACCCACTGATCCATCATCATACACACACAGGTATATTTGTTTGTTTGTGTTTAAAGTCAATATACACACACAGGCACTAAACAGCTGGGTATGAACATTTCTTGAAGGAATGCTAGCAATTTGGGGTGCCTATCCTGAGATTCATCAAAGGGGCCTGAGTTTTAGATGGTGCTGCATACCCAGCCCAGGTAATGCTTTCCAAAGGACAATCCCACCTGGTGACTACATCTCAAGCAGGAGAGTCGCACACCTGTGCTCAATGAGTTGTTTTGGAAAGCCTTGGAAAATTT